CAAATCTTCGGACAAATTGAGGTACGCAAACAATGTTTAACTTTGCGAGAAACGTCAAAAAATTAACTTTTGACGTAATTAACGTTTTGAATTTTTTAAAAATTATAACTTTGTGTATTTTGAAGCTTATAGCCAAAAATTTTTGACCAAAATATTTGACCTGTGACCGAAAATTTCCAAAATTAAGCATCAATTTGTAACTTTACTTTGTTCACTTCTGAAATATATTTGGGGAAATTTTATCTTTGCTCGCAAAAAGTTCCAAATTTATTTATTTTTTGATGTTTTTATTGAAAAGTTATATATAATCACATTGCGTCGTAATGCTTTTGAAAGTCAGTTTGCTAATTTTGTTATTTTTTCAAGAAAAATCTTCATTTTCAGTATGATTTTATTAAATCAAATTTATAATTTTTTTAAATTCTTGCATCTTTTATTATGTCAAACTTGATAACTGATAACACCCATGAATAGCTGTTGTTAAATTAAAAGTACTGAAAATAATCATAATAATAATAAATTATGATATTAATAATAAAGAACAATATCGGAATGGGTATGCTAATGACAGAAATAGTGATAATTATATTTCTTATTTCTTCATTTAGCATTAATAGTATTCATATTTATCACAACAGTGATAAGGAAGATGATACGAGAAGATGATAAATGATAACAATTGGTATGTTTGCAGATTTCCTTATACTACGGTAGAACAGAACGACAACTCATCGTAACCGTGCGACGAGCGTTAGATTTGCCTCCTCGTCCAGATGGTACTGCACGTAACCCTTACGTGAAGTTATTTCTTCTACCAGACCGAAGCGAGAAAAGTCGCCGACAATCTGCAGTATTAATTGAGACTTGTAAGCCAATTTGGAACGAACCATTTTATTATCACGGACTCACGGAAGCTATGCTTATGGAACGTGTTTTAGAGGTAATATTGATAACTTATATATCTCTGCTATACAGCATTTTTATGTCGAGAAAGTTTATACTATTTTTTTCAATAAATTTATTTACTTTTGAAAAAGTGAGATATGCATATGTCTCACTTATTTTACTGAAATTATTTTACTGAAATTTAATATTTATTAAATTATTAGAAAACAATTTTGTTGTGTCTAAATCTTTTTGTAAATCACAATTTGTAAATTTTATTAAAAAACTAAAGATTGTAAGAAATGGTTTAAGATTAAATTATCAATAAAAACATCAAATATTTGCTGCTAGGAATGAGTGAGTAGTTCAGAACTGAAATAGACTTAACCTTTCGTATCGAAAATTGTTTGCTTTATTAATTATATTTTTATTTTTAGTTAAGCTGTATACTAATTAGATAAACATGAATATAATCATTATCAGCATTATTAAATTTGTTTTATCTTAATTGCAAGGGTAAAAGAAAACTTTCAACAATTTGCTACCACACATATATTTTTTATGAGTAATTAATTTCTAGGCGTTATTTTTTAAGTAATTGTTAATCATAATTGAGCAAAACTTAATTTTAGATGAAATTTTTACATTAAGGTAACAGTATGGGATTATGATCAGTATGAAACCAACTCGTTTATGGGTGAAGTATTGATTGATTTTACTATCGCTCAGTTAGATGATCAATCATTTCTATACACATTAGTAGATATGGATGAAGAAAATCCACTAAGAGCGGCTAGTTAATTAATTTTTTTTGATCTAAGAATTAATTCCAAATTAAAATCAAATCAAAGTTTTCATTTCCAATTTAAATTTGAAAATCGATTTACAATAAAAATTTTTTCTTCTCCAAAATACATTTTTATATTTTGAAGAGATTATAGAGGATACAACAGCGTCGATTTAACGTTTATCACACGTCTTCGCGTCCACGTAGTGAAGTTGATTATTACACAAATGTTTCATCACAGCAAGCATTATGTATGTTTTCATAAGTCAATATAATTAAATTTTACTTAGCAAAGTACGCAAAGAAAATTTTGACGTAGCTGTACGTGAAAATTCGCAATTGATTGATTTCAATTTTTTTACATTTTTATAGCGATAATTTTTTAGCTGACGATAACGATTACATAGGTGCAAATACTTACGAAGCATATCGTTCCGGTTCACGTCAGGTACAAAATAATTAATATTCTCATTTTAAACGTTACATATTTTGAGGTAATATTACAAATTGAACACCAACAAATTTTACTTCATAACTTCATAATCCACCACAATTATTATATTTAATTAAAGATAAGTTAATATTAATGTCTACCTATGACCTTTGAATTTTCAACTATTTTCAGTGTTATTTTTGTATTTTCGTAAGCAAAAAACATTGAAAATTTTCATCATTTACACAAGATTAATCCACAGTTTATGAGTGAATAATCTAAAAATAAGTTATCATTAAGCTTACACTATCAGTAAGTTCCTTACCATATCACGTAGTATAGTATACTAATCTGTATTTAATATAATTAAAGGCGATTTGCAAAATCAATCATAATGTAACGTAAAAATGTGTATTAGCTATAACTATAGTAAAATTTCAGAACAATGTTATAAATGGAAATTTTTCAGTACAAGACTCAAAGTAATAACTAAAATAAAGAATTAAAACCGTTTTACTCACGTCATAGTAATTTTGATTGTGAATACAGTAATTATCCAGAAATAATTGCCAAATTTTTACAACGAACAAATTTTGACGTTTTCTTGCATTTCAAATGAGCCAATATAATTTTAGAAATATTTACAGTTACGGTCTAATTCTACTTTTCATTTTTTGAACTAGACAAGATTGAAAATAAGCAAAAAAAGTTATTTATTTAGGCAAATAATATATTTCTTTTGCAAAATATTGTTTTTGACCATATTTGAGTTCACTTTAGCCTTTTTAAATGTAAACGAATGTTACAGTATGTTTAATTTTTGACAGATCCGCGATACAGAAAGCACAGTTTTTGTGCTAATTTTATTTCCTTTTAAGGAATGAATACTGTAGCGGCATTTATCTCTGTGTTAATTAATTAAATTTAAAAGTTAAGCACAGTAATAACAATATAAATATGCAATATACTTATGCTGCATGTGATATTAAGCAGTAATAATTGTTATCCATGCTCGTTCACTTTTGTAACATCTTAGAGGCAAGGAATTTTCGCGCCAACGGATTTTTATTACTAAATTAGCAATTTTAAAATATTAATAAATGATAAAGCCAAAAATAGCATATTTATTATTTGAGGGTTTTTAATTATTCAACTAAACTTTGATAATATTTGGTTAGTTTAAATTGTGGCACAACACGGTAATAAATAGCTACGAATAATAATAATTATTAATAACAGTGATTAAAAATAATAATAGATAGTAATATTAATACTGATAATACTGATAATCATTTATAAATAATAATAGTTGCAATAATCATTGCAATAATTATAGTTATAATACTATCAGACATTAAAAATCGTCTCTTATGTGGAGACTTCATTAAGAGAAAACAATTTTGATAAAGTAGTATTATATTGCAGCAACATCTTCAGCCTGCAAAGTATACATTGCGTCGATCACGGACGTATGATCGAAATGGCGGCAGAATTGAAGAAGACTGGACAGTAAATTGTCCGTCAGGGTACTTATCAGATCATGGATACAGTAACCACATGCCAGTGCAGTATTCACATCGAGAACGACGGCCGCGATCTGCTACAACAATGCGTCCTTGTAATTTTACGTTTAATTTATTAAAAAAAAATACTTCAAAACATGAAAGATTTTCTAAGAAGTGATTAACTTCATCCCTCCTTACAGACAACTAATTTTGTGCACTGTAGGTCACAGCAATTTTTAGCAATAATGCTGTAAAGATAAGATAACTAATTATGAACTTCTTTAATACAAGCTTGTTGTTGATTATATTCAGCTGCATTTTAACGTAAACCAACGTTAAATGATTTTTTGACTGCCTTTCAGATTACTTTGTTCAAGAAAGCTTGTAAGCTTTTTAATATTCAGTTTTAATAAATTTATCAGTTTTAGTATCAGATGTTCGAAGTTATAATCGAAATTTGCCTCCGGCTCCATGGACTACTGATGAAGAAGACGGGCAACAAATTTTAGCTAGTCATCCAGGTCAGGTTACTTTCTTTGGGGTCAGTTTGTTTTTCTGCAGATTATTTTAACATCTTCAAGGTCGGGCTGTTCATTTAAAATCGATCAGTTATATGAATTTAGTCTAGACTGAATTTACTATAAACTTTTTTGCTAGATGTTATTTTTCAGGCCTCTTTTTTAGATTCATTTGTTTTTTTCCAAGTTAATTTATTAACTCAGGAAACTTCAGATCAAATTTCCCGCATGAAATTGTTTACTTCTTCCAAAATCAAGTTAATTAGTAAAAAATACTTAATCCACTTAATTCGATCACTCTACATTTATTTGATTAGGCGAAATAATTTACAGCTCAGACACTAGGAAGATTTACTTTGCGTAACGCAAGATTACCCGGTGAGCGTTTGAAGTTAGAAGCCATGCAAGAACAACAGCCAGGTTATGGCAGTGATGGATCTGAGACACTAAGCATTCATTCAGCGCAAAGTTTATCAGCAAGGTATACTGTATACGTGAAATCATTAAATATGCATCAAACTGTGTCATATACAATATTACTATGACCTTGTATGTGCATATCTACTAGCATTGACAATTTTTAGAAAGAAATTATTTTTCACAAATTTATTAATTAAGACGATCATCACGTCGAATGGCTCATGAAGACAATGAACAGCTAAATATGAATCAACAGATGGATGATGTTGAAGAATATATGGAAGAGGGTGCTATCAGTGATCCCGCTATCACTAAGGAAAATTCCGCGATAGTAACCAAAGATCGCAAAAAAAGCATCATGACTAGGCTCATCCCTGGTAGAAATGCTCCACTTGGTAATTCTGTATCATTTACAAATATAACCTTTAAAGTATTTATTTGTTTATCAGATTTATTACAATGAATAATGATAAGAATCGTAATTAGAGCTCTAAGAGTATGATTATAATGATAAGAATCGTGATTACAATGATAAGAGTCATTAAAAATTTTTCGCAGCTGAGAACGAATTCATTATTGCACAGATTATTAATTGAGTATTAATAACAATTACTACTATCAGTATCATGTTTGTCCCTTATAATTATCTCTCTTATCATTGTAATTACAATGATAAGAGTTATGGTTAGCATTCATCGCTGTTATTGTTATTAATACTCAATTAATAATTTGTGCATTAGAAAACAAGCACTAATTTGAAGAATTATTATTGTCTACACAATAAAATTATCAACAAATAACAATTTTTTTTTACAAGCCTTAGAAAAAATATAACAAAATATTAATAGGCTTGATAATGATAGTGATAATGATAATAGTTATCATTATTATGGTTGTTTTTATTATTGTTAATATTATTATTGCTGTTATTATCACTATTATCGTGAATAATTTTACATTTTTGGAGAAAGCAAAAGGACCGGATTCCAACGATCGGAAGAGGTTGGAGTGCCAGAAAGTTTATCAATTCCAAGTGATTATCTCAATTCTTCCTTTATGAAACAAACCTCTAAAGAATCAACTGATTCTTCCCACAGCGACAAGTAAATTTCAGCTATTTTGTTATTTTATATATTTATTTAGTTGAAAGTCTAAAAATAATTCAGCTTTTTAACATATTTTTGTCGTATATCATACAATTTCTAGCTACCTTTACTTAAGTGGCAATTCTATTATTTTATCAACAACCAAATATGCAAATTAAATTGATTTATTAATTAGGAACATACTTTTTATGAATTCAAATGAATGATTTGTTAATTATTTGAAAGTGTTCATTATTAATATTAATATTTTCAGTTGGGGGCCGATTTTGACCGATGGACCTTTGGGTAGTTTTGTTGCCAATTTGGGACCTGGCCAGGTTAGTCTCTTTCTTTCACATTTGTTGCCTGTAATCCATCAAAAACAATTTTTAAGTGTCTACGAAAATAATTTAAAATTTTTAATATAATCAACTTTACGTACGTATCAACTTTCACGCAGGTTGTGGGTCGACAAGTGCTAGCAAGTCCAGTTCTAGGGGAAATTCAGATTGGTATAGCAGCAAATCGAGATGGTATTGATGTCGAGATTATACGTGCCAAAAATCTCGTCGTAAAACCAGGTGTGAAAGTTAATCCAGGTAATAGTTATACTTTATGATTGTTTCTTCATATGTGATTCTAGTTCATAATATCATTGAGAAGCTAATAGTTATCTTAATATAGAATTTAATGTTACTTTCATTCTTTGATAATTTTTAGGAAATCAGAAATACTACAGAGATCGAAAAAGGAAATTCTAACACATTAGATTCTAACCAATTAATTTTCCCAGAATTCGCTTTCCAAGTTCCATATCATAAACCAAATCATCTTTACGAGTTAACATTTAGTAATGGCTCTCAGAAATTTAATCAGATATATGAGTATACAGCAATTCACGAGAGATCTTAGGTAACTAATAATTAACAATTACTGACTGTCAAAAAAGTTGAGTACTGATGACTACTATCATCATTTATTACTATTTATTAATCGCTAAATATTGATAATAAATAGCTACTACTTACTAAATAGGGATCAATAATAGTAACCAATAAGTAATTAAACAATTGTTAAGTATTATCATACAAATGAGTGACATTACTAAAATATGTCAAAAGTAAGGCCTTATTTCAGCTCCATATGTTAAAGTTTATTTACTGGAAGGGAAGCAATGTATAGCTAAAGCTAAAACCCATGCGATGAGAAGAACTACTGCTCCTCTTTTCCAACAACATATCATTTTCTCCGAATCACCGCGTAAAAAAATGCTTCAGGTCTACTGATTTTTCGTCAGAAACAATAAATTTCGTATAAATCAGATTCTTCCTAAGCTGACAATAATTTTAAATTTGTAGAATAATTTTCATGTTATTCACGCACTAAAAATTCATTTCCAAATTGATCTAAATGCTATTAGAATCTGCAAATCATTTTAAGAATTACGTACTTCAGAAAATTTAGATATTGATCTGACTTATTTGGAAAGCTATTTTTGGATGACTTATAAATTATAATCTTCATAATTATCCACGACCAGGTGCCTCTTAAAAACCTTTCATTACTCCTAATTAACATAACATCAACTACAACTCTTGGATTTGAGATATTAGAAACAAATAAAATATAAAGGAATACAACATATACATGCAGATCACAGTACGAGGCGATTATGGGCGAATGGAACGAAAAACATTCATGGGGATCGCACAGATCCGTCTGGATGATTTGGAATTGGGTGTTGAGCCAGTTGTGGGATGGTATAAACTTTATCACAGTTCAAGTTTAGTGGGTACTGGACCAACTCGGAAAGATAGTGATGCAAGTTTAACTGAAGTGAAGCAATGAATGCTTCTTATTCTTTATTATTCTTTGCAAGCCTTTGTTTTATCTTCTGTTTACTTTTTTTTTCTTCAGTTTTCCATATTGTTTAAATTTTTATCTAATTAAAGTCGAAAAATTATTGAAATAAAACTCTATTTATTTGTTATGTTCATTTCAATTCAATTTTCATAATGTGCAAACAAATTTGCTGTCATTTAAAACCATGTGCCAATTGTGATGTCTTTATGTATCCAACAATTGTTCTGAAAAATTGGATGAAAGAATATGAAGACTATTTGAACTCCAACTAATACTCGAAACAATCTGTTACTACATTAAAAAAATTAATAGTAATAACAACAGTAAACAATAATATATGTCATGAAAATAGCGGTAAAAATCTTACTTCAGCCTCACATACAAACATACAGATTCTATATTACTATATTTTTCCATCCATGCTCATTCATTCTGTTAATTTTCCTTATAAACCAACTTATTTGTGTGTTCATCTGCAATAGCTGTACAAAATAATTCTCCTTAAACAAGTACTTCAGCAAGTGCAAAAAACCAGCAAGTTTCATTTTAAATGTTGCTAAATACTGATATAACAATTTATACTACAATCATTGATATTTGACTGACAACTGAGTTGAACATCCAGAACACCGCTAAAAGCATTTAATAGAATTACTCCACAAATAAGCTGTTTAACTAATTCGACGTCAACTTCTGAATGAATGATCACTACTTACAACTCTAATCAATTTTAAAAACTAGAATCACACTCACATATGATAATCCTGTACATTAAGATATGAAGTCTTGTCCCCACAATTACTAAGCAACAACTTTTTTTCTTTAAGATACTTACAGCCATGGTACAAGCACTCTGTAATGAGATTTTTGCTGAATATCGAAAATTTTCTTTTGTGCGAAAAAAGCATTCATAATATTTGATGTGGCTTTTTAGCAATGCAATAATTTATCCTTGATTCGTAAAACCCAGCCGAATAGAAAATTTTTAAATCAATTACATCTCAACTAATTTTAAATAAAAATGACTGAGGTACCTATCTACGTCGTTTTTGATACTTGAATTATAATCAAACACAAAACTTTTGCAAACATTTTAAATCACATCACGAAAGGATTCCTTTCCAACTTCAACCAATCTCAGATCTGAAATAACATGATAGTACAACGCACTGCTCTACTACTGAAGAGTGAGAAAAAAATATAACTAGATTTCGTCCCAATACATCATTCATCATCATCGTCAAATATAGTCAATAATGTATTTATAGTGATTAACTGAATAAATTTATTAGTAAAGGAATTCAATGCGACTATTATGAATGGCATCAGTACTTTCGAACGTCGGCAATAGTCTATCAATGAAAATCAAAGAAGTGTTACAGTAATATAAAAACAGGATTACATAACCATTGCACCCAACATACTTTTTTGACTTTTGTAAATTTAGATAATTATGATCCTTAGGAACTAAAACCTTATGTCAAGACATAAAAATGAGACTCATGGTCCTAAATTTTATAACAAAGATTCAATACAGTAACTGAATGCACAACTAAAGTTTGATATACTGTAAAAGCAATATCTGCTATGAAGTACAAAAAACTTAACAGGAAATGGATTTACCATGAGATCAAGTATTACAATCGCTTTTTCTTTGACTTAGTATGATCTTTCATTGTGAAATTCGCCTCCTTAGATGACCGTTTTGATACATTTTTCACTGATACTGAATTCACAGCGACAGAAGCTTTCTCTTCTATTTTATCCACATCAGTTATATTTTGATATACCGCATTAGATCCGACTTCCCGTTCTTCTAATTCAGATAAATCGTTAGTGGCATCAGTTTCCTAATAAGAACGAAAATCAAAATGTGATACAGCAAAGAGGTGACAACATATGTTTATAATTTTGCCAAAATGTCTTTTGGCAAAGTTGTAAACATGTCTTTTGAAAGAAAAAAATACTTTGTTTTCTAAGCCTTAGGTATACTACATACTTATCTAGATCCTCAAGATATTTCTTTTTCAATTTTAATCACTTCGCGATTGAAGCATAGTACAAAAATTATTTTTAGCATAAAGATTTTGAAGCTGTAACAATATTATCTTTATTAAAAAGAAGGACTATTGTTTAGAAACAATTTCTAATAAATGTCTCCATAAACTTCAATAACCGATCCCAGGAAACTGCAAGACTCTATAAATAACAGCTTGGATTGAAATTTCGTAGGAAAATCTAACACTAGATGTTTCTAGCTTTTCTCGCTCTTGGGGTTCCCATAGTGCATTTCGCACAAGGCTTTTTGCCACCCGTTGATTCAAGCAAGGTGCTAATCCTCGCTCTTCCAACTCCTTCAACTGCCCCATATAATCCTTGGCTCGAGTCTAAAAAATATTCCCAATTGAGTAATTGGGAATATTTATGCTCTTTTTAGATTTCACGTTTAACAACCTGATTTAGAACTTATAGCTACGAGCAGTACAAATCCTACAATTTTAATAGTGAGTTATTGAATTTTGAGCCCTAAAATACGAAAATATTGTACTGAAATTCAAAAAATATAGTCGTTACCATTTCATTTTCCAGAAATGCTTCTCTTCTTGGTTTTCGACCATGTGTACAAAGAAATATCCAATAAAGCGAATTAATCACAAACACAGACATTAAATCAATTTTTAATTTTTCTAACGGCGGCTTCTAAAATGTGAACACAATGAATGCTTCAATTCAGAAGTGGAAATATGCTATTTTTTAACTTTACAATAATCACCTAAGGGTCCATTTAGTGGAGCACAGCGAAAATGTGAGGAAGAAAATCGAACATAATAAAGTTATCAAAATACAACAAATACTGTTCTATTCAAAAAAATTTAGAGATATACATTGCACTTTATTATACAGTGTTAGGTAATTTAGCAATCATTACGTTGATAAACAGACTTTTTCCAAGACCGATTCAGTGAATTTCTAAAACTTAAAAATCAACTACAATAAGCTTAACCTCAAACTTCAATGCAGCTGATAGAATCTAAGTACTAATTAACATGTAATCTAAAAACAGTTGCCTGACCCGTGAGTTTTCCAGAGGATCTGAGAAGTTAACACTATAAGTTTCCTCCAGTAACGTTAATGCTTCGTGAAACTTCTCTAACTGTTGCATGATTTCCGGCGGTAACGTCTCCTCCATAGATATTCATGAAAACCAAATAATTAGAAAACTGGAAAAATAAAGGAAAGAAACATTACTTCAGAATTATTGTAAAATGCTGATTTTTTTGACAACAAAGTTCATCTCTAAAACTCACCTACAAGAAAAACATGTATTCAATATAATGGTGTGGAGATTACTAGTAAAAAGGTGCATCAGAGATTATTAGGCACCTATGAATGTTTTGACGTGTTTTGAAATATAGCAAAAAATAACGTATGAAAAAGTCGGCATGAAGACTAAATTTTTTGACTAATGAAATAATGCCACATATTAAAGATCGTACCGAAAAAACGAAGAATGGGTGCAGTGTATTCTCTATTTCTCGGTAAAGAAAGGTCAAGTAACATAGTGAAGGAAAATAGTGTAACGCCTGTAACACACAAGAGATAAAAGAACATCTGTCAAAAAAATTCCAATACATATCAAGCAAAAACCATGAGCTGAATTCTTGAAAAGGATGCAAAATCTGATATACTTGAAAGAGTTACGTAATGAATAGAAGAACCTATTACTACCAAGTAAAGGTTCTACAAAATCCCAAATCCCCGTAACGAAGTTGGAAACAGAACCTTAACCTACGAGAACATACATGAAAATGACAACCTCTACCACGAAAGGCAGAAAATTAGACCTCAATATCAATAATTTAATCGTCTGTCCGTGAAATATAGTCTTTATCGTTATGAAAATTCTCCCATTATTTGCAACTCTATTGCTTTGATTAATAACATCACGCTCACGTCTTATCCATTCCAAGTACTTTACATTCACGTGTCATCTTCGACTGTATAAGGTATCTCATCTATTAAGTACAATGCTTGCTTAGTGACTTTTACAACGGCTTTTGTAAAGGTATTTTTGACTCTAAAGAAAGGTTACAACACGTGTATAATTTCCAATTATGTACATGTGGCGGCATGCAAGAGTATTTGATGTTGTAAGGTCGCGTTGTTTTGGTTTTGATTTTGTATCATGTATTTGGCATAAAGATGAGATATTCTTTAAGTTTATTTATTATCTAATAGTATGAAAATTGAAAAAAATTCACTAGTCGAACATGAATGAGGTTAATAAATTCCCTTATTACTAATTAGACCATAGATCTCATGGCCCGAGACATTTGATCACTTTACTATCCTATGATAATTGATGATGTAATGTGAGTATACGTACGTTAAGTGGGTCATGTGCGTTCGTATACGTTCTGTATGACGTGCATCATATCATATGACCTGTTCGCGGAATTGCGTAGTGAATTATTCACACCATTAGAGAATTTTTGTTCAATTAGTAGTGTGGATAGATTGATTTCTGTGCTTTATGTTGTTACGCCTGGGCAGTCGTTGGATTAATCCTAATATTTTACACACAATACGCCATTTCTGCGTATTATGTTATGTAGATTATAACGTAACTAGGTTTGCGTTACAGCAATGCAGAGTTTTAATAATCCTCCCTAAATTTCCTTTTTATTTTGATAAAATATTGTAACTTTTTCTTAAAACTAAAAGCAGATTTTATTTTCGTGATTGGAAGAAGCTTTCAATCTGAAATAGTACAAATAGACTTATGGTTAAATATGCCTGTAGTAAAAACATTGTTTGTCTGCATGATATTCAGATTTTCTGCATAATTATCAGTAAAGTTGTATAAGCAACTTCAATCTATAAAGTTGAACTCCAACTGTTTGGGCGTATTTCGTTCAGTTCCTAAAAATATTATTCCAATTTTTTGGTAATAATTTAGTTAGATATGTTCATTAAAGTTCGTGTCCAGAAAATCGAATTTCTTGCATAAAATAAGTAAAATTTTCAGCAAATTGATGCATTTTACAGCGGATGTCGCACTTTAACTGGCATCTGCAGCATAATACCGAAAATCAACAGTTGGGACAAAAAACTAATGCTGGTACTGATGATGGACAGTGGAGTAGCGTCGGTTTGAGTAACAATGATAATGATAACATACATCTGGAACAGCAAGGACATGAACGAGCAAATTATCAGTGGTCACTGCAAGATGTATATTTTATTCATGCTGTCCTATATTGTTAATCTGCATTAAATAAATTTTTAGTATGTTAGTATCAGAATATGCAGTAGTTTACTGTATATTATTTTTTTGGTTTCAAATTATATTTGGTTCTCGGAATTTGAATTAATCATTGCGAGACACGAAAAAAAAATTTTGTTGCTTACATTTGATATTTGTTACATCGATCTATAATTGTTATGTCGTCAATAAAAGTCAAATGTTGAGGTTTGCATATTTGTGTACAGATGTTTGAATTTTTTATATGTCAAGTAATTAGTGTTATCTTAACTTCATATCATTTGAACACTAAAAAACATTGCATAATTATGGATTCTAAAACTTCAGGAAATCGGAACAGATCCTTATAGTACGATGGCTTTCGAAGGGTCTCAGGCATGCTCTGGTGGCATCGAAAGTAGCTGGCAAAACTCGACTTCCTACATGCATAATACACATCATAAGCAGCAACAACAACATTTAGAACGATCCAGTTATATAGTACTATTTCCGGTGTTTTTGATTGCGATAAACAATGAAATCTGAATATTAACCACAGCTTTATTCATCACACTGTTTTTATGAGATTATATTTTTATGGAGATTTTTTTCAGAAAAAGATTCCTGTGTCTCAGGTTAACATACTTCAACCTCAACGAGCAGAGGATTCTGTTGGTCTTCATCAGCCTCTATTGGATTGCTCTAAAAACTCTTTTGCTCATAGTGTAGTTGTATGTTCCATTATATAATATTCAGATTGCTCTGAAATATGAACTCATTACATTATTATTATTCTCTCAACAATCTTCAGGGTGATACTGTTGGTACAAAAAACAAGGATGCAGGAACGTATCAGCATGTTAAAGCACAAATGGATTCTTGTAATGTTGAAGGTGAAAATTATAGTTATATTAACTTATTATCGTTTAGAACTAATCTTGGCACAATAGGGTAGTTTTAGTACATATAAAAAAATTTTGAATGAAGATAATTATGTATTGAAATTTTTTCATAATACTCGAGTTAGACGTCATTATTCTACAAGTAAAGGTTGCTTTGTTTATTTTTACGATTTCTAGAAAAGCCTTCATAATTTGTTTCCTTCAGGTTTTAATTTTATTGCTTCTTAATATATGCGTGATGATAGATTTTTTTCAGACAGAAAAATTACTAAAGCAACGTGTTTGACTGAAAATAATGAGGCATTGATTATTGATAAGGTATTTGGCTTTATATCAAGTTTGTTAAGAGACTTTTATGTATTTTGTCAATATTCTCTATCATTCATTTATTTGCAGTCCATGAACGACATCTCAAAGGTTGAAGGTACTTCAGTTGTCGCAACTTCTACTATTGCTGTATCTGATATTTTAGCAGCTGTCAAGGTTGAGTCAGCCTTTGTTAAGTCTACTGAAATATTACCAACCACAGCTTCTTCCGTCTCTAGTTATTCTAATGCAGATGTGTCCAATATTGATACTCCTGCTCGCCTAAAAACTGATAAGCCTGGTATTATTTACTTGATATCTGATTATTTTCACTCGAAAAATGAGATTTATCAAATTTCAGCTTACACAGAAAGCTGCTTTTTAATTGATCTTATAATTTAAAAAAAGTCTTGATTACGTGTTAAATGTTTGACAATTAGTTATTTCTCAAAATTTTTGAAATCCCTGCAAAATTATCGATAACTTCGGTTGCTTCAGAAGTAGATATAACTGTTTCGAATGCTCATGTGCATCTGGCTGCACCTAATGTGAATACTGTATGTGATATTCCATTATCATCAGTTGAAGATATAGATGGGACACCCAGTAATGAAGTTATTGACAGGACTCAGAATACTTCAAACATTGTATATCCGGAGAATTACCGACAACCAATAGGGATTAATGCACCGGTTATTAAGCCGAAATTGGTAATGTTCAGAGCGTAAAAGAATAAAAAACGCAAGCAAATTATAATAAGTCTTATGTATCAGGGTCACCTGTCAGTCTCTTAACGAAATTTTGTCCTGGTATTTCATAAACAAACATTTTAGGAATTAGAAAATATTGATGAGAAAGTCATTCCTAAGGTAGAGAATCTAGCACATGTTGGAAGCTTGCTTTCAGCCTCCAAAAACAATGGTTTTGTCTTTAAAAAGGTATATATCCAGCAGTTTTTTGACAAATTTAGTGCTCAAATCGCAATTAAAAACTCTCATTCATGGGAAGAAATCTTTTCATATCTCTCCTTAATAATTTTGAAATGAAAATTTATGAAGAAATGTAAAGTGGATTTCAAAGTTAAAAAAGGCATGTTTTGGCAATATTCTCGAATGATTATATGATTTATGAATGGAAATTCATTTTAAATTATAAATTTGAATTCATAGATGAATATCAGTACTGAATTGCTGTAACAGGTCTAAGCGTTTGTTATCTATTTCCCCAGGTTAAAGAGGAAGAGGCTGTTTCATTGTCATCTGAGCAATCTACAGACTCCCCAGTTCCTGAGAATTCTATTTTGAAAAAGGAGTTCGGAAGACAGAAAGATTCAAAAAATGTCCGAGACCGATATCGCATCATTCGTCAGCAGTTAGTTTTCATTGTATATCGAAACTGTTCTTTAAAAAGTTAGGTACATCGTATTTTATGGTTTGAATAATCTGCAATAGTATTGTTTTAAGATATCCAGAAGTAGTGAAACGATTAGATCGTCTGAAAATGGAAGCTCACAGTATGGACTGGCGTTCAACTCAAAAAGCTCCATCAGAAATCAGCGAGAATTCCAGTACCTTGTGAGCGTTCTTAAAAATATTTTTATTTGAAGTTCATATCATGTTCTCCTGTTTTAAGTGTTTTGCTAACCCAGAAGGCATTTGATATCACTAGCCATCTTTATTAAATCTGGCTTCAGTTCACGTTGAATTTTCTCGAAAACGTTTTATTCGTTAGAAATTTATTCTTTCACGGCACAAAGCACAATGTTCTAAATGGAAATGAAAATTAATCTTTTTCTTAGCTTAATAATGTAATCAGTCACATTTTAGAATACCAAATAGAATTCAGAAGAGCTCATCAGGTCTCAATATTAACGTTGGACCCAATTTAAGGAGTGTTGAGCCGGTCCTGGATTTTCGTAATCTCAAATGTTAGTTTTGATAATTTTTTTCATGCCTGAAATTTGCATTTTACTTTCTGAATTTCTTCTGTTCTCTGTTTTCCAGTGAATCAGTCGTTTACTTTTCCGGAGCACATGAGTTCAGCAAATAGTTCAGATAAAAATGACATTTATTATGGAGAAGACTTTGTCAGTTCACTTCGGAAGTACGTTGTGTATTTTTTATTTTCACTCTGAGATTTTACAGTGGTTCTTATTTTGCTCAGAAATTTAAATAACCTCTAATTTTTGTATGTCAGAAGTCGGCATATTCGAGTTCGTGAGCACAATTATTACTCTACTCGGGGCACTAAATCGGAAATGGGTGATATAGGGCCATATCGAGGTCCTGCTATTGCTACGCACAATCATTATATGTTGCATGTTTATGGAAATAGTACATTTCCTAGACATCAGTCTTCAGAGTAAGTTTTGAAATTTTAGATTTCCTTAAAGCTCAAACTTTTGGTGCATGGAACTCTGATCTGAAAATTGATCTCATCGAATATTTTAGCTAATTAGTTCCTGCTTACTCCATTTACTAAAAAAATTTTCATTTGTTTTTTGGCATTTTTGACAAATCTTTTCCATCACTAAAGTATAAATAATTGTTTTTCAGATTTTATCAAAGTGGCAGACAGTCAGTAGGACCTTCTTTTGGTCGACACGTTGCACATGAATTATCAAAAGCACATAACGCTGAAAGTTCTCTGCCTCGTCGACCTCAGTCTTCATTTGATATTCCTATACACCCAAAGTAAATCTTTCAGTTAGATTTTTGGGCTGTTTAGGTTTAAAATCATTTATTTGTGGTAAAAAAATTCCAAAATGCTATAGTTCTAGGTTGGTTTGTATTCTGCTGCATGTTGTTGCATTCTAGTCACATGACTTCTGAAAAGCGCATTCGAGAGTGCGTAATTTTGTACACTTCAATTTAATTCTTAACTGTTAATGCTATTTTGCAGATTCATGTCCCTTAGTTGGTTTTGTTCTATCGCCTGTAAAATTCTGCATTATTTTCAGATATCAGCAGAAAAAAAGGTCGATTCAAAGTGATGAAATAGATATGCTAAATCACTCATCAGAAATTGAAGAGGAATCGAGTGGAAGTGATAGTGAAATTGCGCGAATCCATTATGGACAGGAAATTGTATAATTTTCACAGTCTTTTATTAAATTTCTGGTTGTCATGATCATAAATGAGAAACATTTTCTTCAGGACATTTAGTGGAAGAATTCAGTGCAATTAATATAACGTTTACTGAGGGACATAATTTCGTATTTTATTTTCCAGGCTCGACGAGCGACCAAGATGCGTTACAGTGCAATGCCGATAACTGCACCCAATGAGTTTTACTATTTTGGTGTGATACAGTTACCACAGGTTAGTAGTTTTTAATATCTGGTCTTGGCGCACTAGATGTAATGATATAAACAATGATGATCGATACTTGATGGAAAAATGACTAACGACTGTACTTTAGCTAATTATAAAACGCTTATTGTTTACTTCAGGATAAAGTAGAATACATAATGCGTAGAATACCGCCGCCACCAGAATATTATGGATTGCCACCAGTCGAAAAAGCAGCATATCTATTTTATTGTCTTCTTTACCAGCATCATTATCATCCTGTAGACTTGTTTCATAAAAAATTCAATCGCGAATATTTCAGTTACATGTGTGAAGGTGACTCAGCTGAAATTGCTCTTTGGAAGGTAAATTTTTGCTTTTTTTTGAGACATTTCATAAGCCTTCAAGATTCAAGCATAACATTTCATACTTAATTTTTTCAGATATGTAAGCATACTCAAGAAGAATTTCTGGCGAAACGTTCGGCAAATCACTTGAAGGCTTATGAAATGTCTCAAAAACAGTTATTTAGTGATGATCGTGAAACGCTTGATAGCAGGTTTTCATTTTCTGGCTTTCATTTTTTGAGTTGGAGTAGGCCCTTCACTTGTGTGCAGCGTCAATTTAAAACGATCTTGAGAATGTCTTCCAAAATGGTGTCTGCTGCTGTTCTCTTACCTCATAGCTCTGAAGTTCTGTACTGAGCAGAACACGATTTTTAAAGTCGGTGTTTCAGCTCATTTAGCTTTATAATTTGATTCTTTCGTTTGAATATAAAAACTAAATAAAGGTTTGAATAATTTCCTGAATGGATGTGGAATTCCTTTTTTCAATTTTATATGAATTTTTAAAAAATGTTCTCATCTCTCTTCAAAGATTTTCCTGTGATCGATTATATCGAATATTGCATTTTTATGCTTCATGTTCACAACTTAGGTATTTTGTGAGTTTATTTTACATTGAATTTAAAATTTTTTTGTTCTCTGTTCCAGACAAAGTGAACGAGGAAGCCGCTGTGATCTTGAAGATGAAAGTGATCAACTGAGTCTCGATTCTGCATGTAAAGGTTGGAAAATTCTTTATCTTTTTGGTGCAAGTTACGTTCGACTAAACAGTCTGGTCTCTGACATGTTTAGTTTTGTCATTTTATTAACAGTTTGCTTCTATTATCTCTCATTAAAAGGCTTAATAGCTTTTTTCTTTTGTTAACTAAATCTATAAAGCATTTGGTTTGCCTTCTAAAAAACTATTTTCTGATCGGTCTTTATAGAACCAATGAAATTTCGTGGTTCTCATTCATTTTTGACATTTGGTATTGGTGGAAAGGCAGTTTTACTTGATGTTAAAAATTCGGAAACTGTTCTTGAAATACGCGATATGAGAAGTTTGATTGTTGATCAGAAGTTGTTGTATGTGGTGAGTGCAATCGAATCGTTCCGAGGTTTGATTTGAAGTTTTCATTCAAAATAAGTCATGGTTTGAAAAACAAATTTTTTTTGATGGAGAGTTTGGAAATGAAGAATTGTAAGTTATTCTAGAGAAGTTATGGTGCACTTTTTTTTTTGTTTGTTTGTAGTCGCATTACCATTTTCATTTTTGTGTAATGCTTGTTAAATGCAATTACTACAAGCAGCCTGCAATTTTTCAAGGTCCTTTGGTTCCGGGATTCACTCAAACACATTCTGTGCTTCTGTACATCCAGCGTCAGATCGATATAATTCTGAAATCCGAGGCATATCGTTTAAATCCAGTTAATAGTGGCGCAAATGACTGTCTTCTTATGTGGCAGCTTTTGGAAATGTTGGTACAACAGCAAGGGGTAACATCTAAAAAACTGTTTGAGCATTGTCGTATTTCATCTTAAACGTATTCATGTTAAATTCGCACTGCCTTCATAAAAAAGGATTTAGCGAGTAACCGGACCCGATTTGTCGCGATTGCTAATGAATGGTTGTCATGTAATCGAACATCGACGAAAGCTGAAGGAGAACTCACATCTTATGGCTCAAGAGAATTTTAGCGAAAATCAAGTAGATCCTAAAGCATACGATCGATTTACACAATTTCTTCTGGGTGGTCATGTAAAAGTAAGCTTTCGTTTATTTTGAAAATATCAAAGAGTATAATATTATGAAGCTATAACGTAATCGTATGAATAATTAGCATATTGTTTCGAGTTATTAACGTTGATCCGGTATGAAACGTAAGTTTCTTCCATATATTTGTCGTTGACGTTTCAAAGTAATTACTCTAATTTCTTGTTCACTTCATACTTACTTGAAATGAAGATTGGATTTTATTTCGCAGGAAGCTCTTGACAGTGCAATGAAGGATGGACTGTACTCAGATGCCATGATTTTAGCGCGTCGTATAGCTATCAATGAACCTCATGAACTTGATAAAGTTGAAACAGCATTTTTGTCCCATCGTTCAGATTTGAATCCTGTTATGACCCTGCTTGCTGTCGCGAATGGGCAGTCAGCTTCAGTTCTAGTAAGTTTGCTAAAATATCAGTACAGTAATGTTTCATTAATCAGATGTTCTTGCTGTATTTAGATTATATTTGATAGATCATTGATCAGATGTTCTTTTTTTATTGACTCGTGTATCTCATATAGCACATTGCAACTTATTGTTCCGTGGTAATGATATGTGATTGAAAAAAGTAGAATTGGAGTTTTTGTAACGAAAAAAATTGCCTGTGATTGTTGAAAATACATTAAGAAAGAAACTTTTTTAGACAAATCCACCAGTAGATGACGCAAATAGCTGGCGTCCCCACGCAGCTATAATATTGGCGAACTTGAATACACCAGCAGCTTTTGGAGCAGTATATCAACTTGGACATGCGCTTGGTCGCCGCGAAATGCACATAGCCGCCGATTTTTGTTATCTTGCAGTCAGCCTTTTAGCACCCAGCTATAATCCTTTTTCACCATGTTTTGAGAGGTATTTTTCTAATCACATCACTTTCTTTGGTAGAGATTTTTTACCTTTATATTTGTATTTTAAGCAAAGTAAACAGTACATCCATTATTGAAATTTTTTGTAGTGATAAAAGTATTGACAGTCGTCAACACATAACGCTTATCCATGCAACATTACCTGGTGATGGAGCATTGAATTTTGAATCATTAAATGGGTATGTTTACCCCTTGAATTTCTATACTTATCAGTTGATTGTCGCAATGTGAAATGCTTTTTTGTAGATTCATTACGGGAAATTTTTGCAGTGCTTCCACTAAAAACACCGTCATAAATATCATTACTCAATAGTCTAACTCTACTTTTTTGTCTTTTTAGTTTTTCGGTAATTGATTTGCATGCCACCGAAATTTTCCAATTTGCTACGAAATTGGCTGATGGCTGGATATCACAAAATTTAAACAGATCTATAGCTTATCAGATGCATCGACTTGAATATACTGAAATGGTCTCTGAATTTGGAAATTCAGTGGATGCATTTCGATACTGCGTTGAGATTGCTCGCGATATATGGAATCGTTGTCATGAAATCAATATCAAGCATCTTGAACGACTGTATGAATTGGCTGAGCGGTATGATGTTTTTATTGTTATTTGCTAGCCAAACGAGCTTTCATCAAATGATTGTTATGAAAAGTCATTTAAGTGTCAAAGTTTTTCAGTTCATGTGAGTTATAAACTTCTCAATAACTTTTGCCTAATTTTTTGGAAATCTCTCAATGTTTTGTTTTTTTGTATAGAATGTCTTGAGCAAAATATGTGAAAAAATTACAAAATATTGCATTGAAGTAGAAGATAGTGACTTATACATCATGTCGAGCAGTTCTTTTTATTTTTTTTTTCTTCCGAAATTGCATTATTTTAGTTTGAAAATGGTGGCATCCGCAGATGCCAATAGTACAGCGTGGCTTCCTTCTATGAGATCGTTAATAGATGAACGTCGGAAAAGAATTCAAGCTGTAGAAGGTGTCTTGTCATGTATATCTGAAGAAGTCGACACTGTACCAGATTTGACTGAGGTAATTTCTTTGCATTTATTGATTAATTTCCGCTGGATAGACGTATTACCAAATTTTAGGAAGATGTCTGAGATTTATATAAATGCGAATATTATTTATATTTTTCACTTGAAAGGACCCAAAGTTTGGGAAGGAAATTTTGGTAATGAGTTTTTTGGATGTATTTATGATAATTTTTCATATTGGTTTGTTGATAATATAACATATTGATGTTGGTTTATTATTTTCACAAAATTATTCTGTGCTTTTCGATTTTAGAATAAAGTTGTGAAAGTGGTCGCTGAAAGCAGCAGTAATGAAAAGAGTAATGTTTGCAAGTAAGTTTTAATTTTAGTTCTTCCATTTGCTTTTGAAATTTAAATAACATGTCGGCAGATGTCAATTTTTATTGTTTGTTCTTATTTCCAGCCAGGTCCCATTAGATTCAAAATTTGTTGAGTGGCAAATACGGCAGCAGGAACCAACTGAATCCGTATCAACTTCAGTGGAAGAGCCAGCAACAAAGCAAACGTCTGAGATTAACGGTTAGATATTAATCACTTTATAAACTAATTATTAGTTCTCAAATATCTATAGGTCCTTCTTTCACCTCAAGTTAATTTTAGCCGTATCAAACTTCGTTTCTCTTAATTTCTGTGTTGTGTTCTTCTATGTACTACCTCCTCTATTTTTTACTTCAAAATATATAGGCTCAGCTACTATTGTCAAATTGTTTACTCAACCTAAATGTATATTAATGATGTAATTTCAGAGTATAGTGTTATTTCTGGAGCACCATCTGAAAAACTTGAATCGTCTAATAATTTGGACTCTTCCGCTCACAGTCAGGTGGATAGAATTTTGATTCTAGCAGTTACTTTTTATTACAATCCCAATTTTTGCGGTGGCACTGGAGAAGGGAAAAATCATTCTCTCGTGATTCAGAAATTAGGATCATAACGTTTGTTTCTACTATCAAATTTTTCAGAATTCGGCTGTTTCATGTACCTTTCCAATGAACACCAAGAATTTTCAAGAAACTAGCAGTACAAATTGTTCAACTTTTACTGCTGTTGCTTCAACCCAGGCAAATGAAGGTGCTTCATGCAATACGAATCGTGAATGTAATGAAGAAAGGCAGCTTCATGTCGAAAGCTTGCAAATGGAACTTGAAGCTGGTTCAAAATCATTAAACACTGGTGTACGAACTGAAACTGTTATGGGTGGAGTTGCTATGAAAGGTTATGAGAATGTTCATCAAAATATTGGTAGTTTGGTGAGTTCTATTTTTGTTTCTTGATTTTGCGAAATTTTTTATATATTTAGAATGTTATTATATACCGCTTTTTTAGGAAAAAAATTTATCTCTTGAAATTCCTTCTGTAATAACAATGAAAAATCGAACTGAAAAAACATCTCATTCATCTGATGAGCCATCATTAGCCTCGCATCCAAATGTTTATCAACATCAAAATTATGGCACAGGTGACTTATGACAAATGTATTCTGTATTTAAGATTTTTTTTTCTAACAGATTTGCATACGTATTGCTCTTGCACTAAGTTATTTTTATTATAGAGAATTCGCTTTCATCTCAACAGCAACAAGCAAATTTTAAGGGCGAAAAGGTCAGAAAATGGGTTTTAAAAAAAATTCTATATTTTGATATAATATAGATTTCCGTTCTTGCTAGTTATAGATTTGTTTCGGGTTTCTTTTAACTTTCTATATTTCAGACTGGCAGGGTGAGAAAAAGTATTAAAGAACATGGGCATGGTTCAGGAATTTTTTCGAAATTAAAAGCAACCATTGCTAAGGCAATCCCAGCAAGCAATGAAATGATTCTTCCTGATGACAAAAATCCATCAGTATTACATAAAACTTCCCTCCATTTTTTAATTAACATTTGAAATACCTTCAAAGTGTCTTTCGATGTATTCTTTTGAGCTGAATTCAGAAGTAATGTAAATGTATTACTGTTACAGATTGTTTGGGATCCGAAATTGAATAGGTATGTCGGAGAAGGCATTGAAGAAAAATCTGTTCCAGAGCCTCCACCATCAGTCAAATCCAATTCTGAGGCAGTAAATGGTCCTTCATCTGGTCGTATTGGTGGCTTGACAGCTGCTCGACTTAGCGGCGGTAAATTTTTCATCAAATGATCTTTCTCCTTTGCTCTTCCATTGTGATTGCTTTAGGAATTTATTTCTAAATTTCATTTCCAATTGCCTCTTAAGTAGTCGAAATCATCCATGCTTGCATATCTAAATAAAACTTTGGTTTTTCGATTGCTAAATATTTGTAGGATCAAGATATTTCAATCCGCTGATTGAAACATTGCCTTCGAAGCCAGTGGCTCAGACTCTTCCTCTTCTGCCGCCAACACTAGTCACTGCTAGCTTTGGTTTTATACCTTCTACACCTGGTATTCTTATTCAAGATTCAAGATCGTAGTTTAAATATAATCATATTTCTGCTGTATCGAGTTTTTTATCCTTTGCCATTTTCCTTTTACCTTTTGTAATACTTAGTCAATATCAATAAATAGAATGTTAGGCTGGTACTCATTTTGTTTCTTCTTCCTGTTAAGTAATATGTTTACTTCAGACAATGATGATGTACCAGGCGAAAGTCCATTCAGTGTTGATAGTGGTCCAGCAGTGCAGGAGGCAGAAGTTAATAATTAATTAAGTGCCATCGTCGAATTGAGCAACGGTGTTAATAGTCCACACTCAATTCATTTTTTAAAAATATGTTTAGTTGGTTTTAAAAACTTAGTGGGATTTGTTTTTGAACAACGTTGTGATTTTTTTTTTGCAAATTCATTGTTGTTAGAGTTGAAGTTATCAAAGTTTCCTTTTTATTCTTCTATGTCTTGTTGAGTATTGTATTAGTCAACGAAGATATGAACAAAATAGATTATATACGTTTCTAGCATTCTGGGTGAGTTGGTTGTTATGTCTGTGGTAATATTACTGGTCAGAAATGAAAATTCATCACTTTTCAGTAGTTGACGACGTGTATTTGAATATTAAAAAAGCGGGAGAAGCGGTCATGTTTTAAGGTTTTTGTGTGCTTCTTTAGTTCTTTCTGAGCAGTCTTTTCATTACCTAATCTATTTGCATTCGTCTTTCTCTCTTCCTCTCTTTTCTCTCAATTTTCGAAATACCATTCGGTTGAACGCTTCTGCACTACATATTTCAAATTAATTAAGCAAATTTTTGAATGTTTAAAATACATATATACATCATGTTAATTGGTATGGAAAATTTTGATTGATCTAGTTTACTTTGGATTTTGCAAGTGTTTACTTTGAAAATGGCTTAGTAGATGAAAGTGTTGTGAAGGTTTGTTATGCAAAAATAATCTAAGTGCCAATTCAAGATCCATTAATGGATATGCCGCGAAAGCGGCTAAAGTGATGTCTGTCTACTGCTTTGCCCATCTTTGTCATTCATTCCAACATGTCTTCTTTCTCTTATCATTATTGCCAGTTTAATTTTGAACAATTATAAGTAAGAGGTGACGAAGCTGTCACTTAATTGTAGGTTTTTAGGGGTTTTGGTCACTGTTCTGTATTTTATTATTTTCTTCTTGGAGAATAACCAATTAATTTGTGTAACACTGGTTCGTGAATATGACACACCAAGTTTTAAGGATTGTTATTTTGATGTATTAAACTTCAATTTAAGGAGAACAAAAATGAAAATCCTATAAAGTTGTATCTTAAACATTAGAAATCTTTCCATCGTTATTCTTCACTTGCTATTTCATCCATTAGTTCAAAAACCTCTGGTTTTTAGACGATTGGGTGCTGTAGATAAAAATAAAAGTAGTTTTTGGTTTAACCTTTGCTTTTTCATAGAGCTACATTTTCAGCAGTTCTTCAATGGTTTCTATTTGGTTCTTTGGTTAATTGTATTTGGAAGAGTTCCATGCATTTGATGAGAGGGCGGATGAATTAGTAATGAGCTTGAGTCAAGTGTAGCAATGAATTTGTATTCGAATATTATCTGTTGATTATCCGTTACTTGGAATTTCCAGAGTAAATTGTATCAACTATAAAGATGTGGGATGTAAGTGATTGGTGATTCCTGAATAAAGTATTTTTCTAAGAAAAGCTGAGTATCTAATTATTAAGTCTATCTATTGTTCCGTGGAAGTGGATACTTGATTTTTTTTTGTCAAAAAGGTTATTTTTTGAGGTCAGTATTAGACGTATTGTGGTGAATTACGTAATGACATTATCTTTACAAATTTTAATGAAACTTTACTGTATATAGCGTGTAATCATTTTTGTGTAATCGTTGAAAGACGGCAGTGGCATTGCAATGAGCGGTTTGGTGAATACGAGGTTTTAGACCATTACCAGTTACTCACTGAGAAACTTTAAATAGATTGTAACAAGATTAAAAATATCTTGTTCTTAGTATTGTTAGGTCAGGTTTCATGTTGGTGAGAGGAATTCTTTACATGAATTTATCTACAAACTGGAGATGGGGCGGTTTTGTGGGCAAGAAAGCTGGATTTGAGCTAATAAATTTGACAGTGGTTCGTATACTATGCAGAGATAATTCTTGAAAATGTTCAGAAACAACGAGGATATCAGTTTTTAGATATCCGGTTATGGCTTACCAAGCAGCTCGGTCATATGATGATACAGATCGTACACTCTGGATGGGTGATCTCAATCCTGATTGGGATCAATCATTTATTGCAGAGGCATTTGCTCGAATGGGTGAGGAAGTGAGCAATGTCAAGATTGTTTTTGATAAGCATAGTGGGAAGGCAGGTTTTTTTAATATCATAAAAATTTTCGTCTAACAATCTTTTTTTGAACAGAATGCATGGATTACAATTTTCAGATAAGCAGTTAGAATGATTCATTTTAAATGTCAGCAAAATAAAACTGTGATATCAAATAAACATAAAATTAATGATAATTTCAGCTTGCTGGTTATTGCTTCATTGAATTTAGCGATCGAGAATCAGCTCGTCGTGCGATGTTACATATCAATGGTAAAATCATACCGAAATCAAAACCAGCGTCAGCATTCAATCTTTCGTTCGCAAACTCTCCAAATGCGCCGTCAGTTTTACTGTATTCTGTTTCAGAAAGCAAAACTTCGGCGTTTGATTGAGAGTTTTTTTTTTCACGAGGCTGTGTTCTGTCTGTAAACTGAGAGTCATTTTTTATTGAAATAGAACACATTGGAAATCATTTCAAAAAAAAAAATGGAAGTATGTCTAAAGTAGTATCAACTAACTATTAATGATGCCTTCAAACAAACTTATATTAATAGAATATTGTAAATTAGCAGTACTCATTTCAAAAGTCATTTACAATTTACAGAAACGATTATAATTTTTAAGTCATATTCGCAGGATTAATAAAATAATCATTTGTAACAAACTGTATTTTTTTCAGAAATATATATCTCTCTTATTCTTTTCTGATTTTTATTTGTGAGAGCATAAAGAATTTTATTCTTTCAGATACACAGAATATAATTTGTTTGTAAACAATGTTCCACAGGACACAGATGATGCTGCACTCTTTCTAGTTAATAACTTAATACTTCATGTTCCTCACTAGTGCAAGATTTTTTAATTTGAGTTAAATTGTGAAAATGCAACTTATCGTTACCAAAATCTGTGTTTAAATTTTAATTTTTCCTGTTTTTATATATTTGTTTGAATTTTTTGTAATTTGATCTTTTAATTTTGTTTTAGATATTTGGTGAACGCTATGAATCTTGTCGTGGGGCGAAAGTATATCGTAATGCAGATGGTACTTCTAAAGGCTTGGGTTTTGTACGTTTTTCGGACCAAACCGATCAGCAGAGAGCTCTGGTACTTTTTTGCTTTAGCTAAAAAAAGTTATATTTAACGGTATTCTTTTTGCAAAAAGTTTTTAGCTTGAAATGAACAAATATCGCGTTGATGGTAAACAACTTATTCTAAAATTGGCGCAGCCAAAATATCGAGCACCTAGACAATCTCGTCATATTCAACAGCAGCAACAGCAAACACAACCTCATCAAAATATCTCTGGCTATGAAAGCAGTGGTTATTTATCAGTTCAGGTTTTAATTTCAGTGTTGAAAAGATTTAAAATCAGAAAAAATTTTGGTGACAAAATTTTACCAAACCAGATTTCATTAAAAATATTGTATTTTCAAATAAATTTGGATTTTATACCGTTATTTTCAGGATAATGGTGGGGCATCAATAACACCTTCGACACCTACAACGCCTTATTATTCCTACAATACGACATCAGTCACAAACGTTCATCCCACGAGCACTTACAACGCACCATATATCTATCCATCGGTTGATCTACGAACTACTCCGCAACCAGCTGTTTGTGAAGTAATGTTTTAATGCCAAAATCATTTGCGTTTAAATTCTGCCCATTTTTTATAGAGTTTGGAAACATAGTACTTTAAATATTTCTTATCGGAACGTTGATAATTAATGATATCACAAGCTATTTAAAAAATAAGAAGTGAAGGATATGTTCAAGTTCTAGCTTTTCTTGCAGTATTACCCTTGTGTGGTTGGTGGAGCCATTGTATCATATGAGATGTATGGTACCGAACCGATCGAAGATGAATCTGCGGAAGCTAGCAACGAATACTTATTACAAAATGGCGAAGAATTTTATGAAGCACTTGAACAAAGTCGTTGGAGTAAAGTTGTCTTTGATTCAAATGTAATTGAAGGTGATTTGCTCAAAGTTCTTGGATGAAGTATTTTTCTTATATGCAATAAATTTTATTGTCAATTTTTTCGCTTATTTTATTCTGAATGGAATCAGTGAAGGGAAGGAAAAATTTTAAGTAAAATGTATTATTCGTTATCAACTTCTAATTAACCATCGCTTCGGATAGCTGGCTTTACTTAATTTACATCTATTGGTTACTAGAACACAGAATACATAGAATGCATTAAATTTCAACTTAGTTTAACTTTAACATATTTTAAACTTTTTGTGTTTTTCAAATAAAAAAAATTGAGAATAGTTCAAATAGTTTTTCAAACTACCATCTTTCAAAGTCGCGCAGTCCTTGTATTTTTAGAAATCTCATACTTAGTTATAAATTTTTTTGAAGTCTTTACGTAATATGGCAAATGTTGAGTAAATATTTATTGATAATCTTGTGACATCTTCTGCCAAAAAAATAACAGCTCGCAAAGATCATACCAGAAGTTATTTTTCTCGACTGATTAATAACTGACTAAGGTAAGATTAAGAAAGACTATAAAAAAGTTGAAATTCATTCATTATTTAAGTCATGCTGAGTATAAATGTACGAAAACAATTGGGTGAGAAAAGTCAGATTATGTTGTTGAAGAATAGAGTCGTGATCACCGTTAATAAAAAATAAATCTATTGGTTTTGTAGAATACATTTGCCAACCATTTGAAAGAATCACTTTCATCTCTTCTTTTGTTGCTAATTTGCTAAAAAATTAATAAAGTTAGCATTTGTAAAAAGAATATTTCAATAGTGCATTTTTGTGACGTTGGATTGGCATATTTTCTAACTAGCGACTATAGGTTGATTCCTTGAGATGAACATACTAATAGTTTTCTTCAGCATATTTTTTTCATTTCTCGCGAGATTTTGTCGATTTTGCATTTATTTTTACCAATAATACATTTGTATAATTGCAAAATTTGATGACACAATTAGAATTTTTGTCCACTTGAATTGTTTTTTTTCACAAAACTAAAAATTTGTATCATACCTTGTTGTTGATGTAATTGGTGAATTCCCGAAATTTTTTGCCTTCAGAAGATATATTTTGATTGGATTTATAGTAAAATGGTGATATTTTAGAATTTTCGTAAGTTGTTTCGCTTTCATCAGATATTCTTCCTCATTTGGTAATCCTTCCAATTTTTTCTGCAATAATTTGGAAGTAGGTAAGCTGTTTCGTATATTTGATTAAAAAAAATTAATAACATGGTTACTTTCTAATGCTAATAAATGAAGATGAAGTTTGACATTGAAAAAACCTGAAGATAAAGTTTGACATCATTAAATTGCAGTTCATTTGTTCCAATTGCCCAAGAATCAAGCATAGTAACAAACGGAATTTTCAACTTTTGATTCATTATCTGAGCGATTTCTCGAGCTATAATTCCACCCATTGAATGCCCCATTAGATGGATCTGTTTAACCTTATTGCTATGTAGATCAATCTAAAAATTTGCTTTAAAACTGAGGTAGAAATTTTCTTGGAGTTTTGAATTTAACCCACAAATTTAGCTCTATTTTTAAAAATTTGAAGAAATGTCTCAGATCAATCTCTTGTTGATTCTCTTCTATGATCATCCAATTATCAAATTGTCATGATCTAAGACATCCTTCTCATTATGTAACAGTAATTATTCTTTGGTAAAAAAATTTTGATGTAATTGATCTACTTGAGGAGTACTTTATTTTAGTTGAGAAAAATATACATATAGATTCATTTTCCAAGTTTTGAGTTTTAAAATTTCTATCTCAAAAATATCATCTAAATACAGCAGTTATTTCATACCTAACTTAAAACATATGGGATATAATTCTTCAAGCTATGAATTAAGCAGTACTTATCACAATTTGCTTCAAACTATAGGATTTGCTAGTTCTAACCTAACTTATTCATTAGAAGATACAAATAATTTTATAATATTTAGTCTTATGACTACAATCAATAGTTTTATGATTAATAATTTTTTAAATTAATTATTTATTGGAGATATTAATCACATAAAATAATTCTTACATTTTCAGAATAGAAAGTAGCTAATTCCAACAAAGTATTCGATGGATAGTGAAGATTGTATTCAATTGCATAAATATTTAAATATTCTGGTATAGCGGATATTATTGCAAAGTATGGATAAATGGTGCCAGCAATTGCATGAATTAAGTAAAGGTTTCCAGTAGCGCATGCGGTCTCTCGAAGATTCACAAATTTTAATGAATAGGACTGGTAGTTTGATTGTGCATTGTTGGCACTGGTAGTTTGATAGTCGATTGGAGTAATAGTTTGATTAATAATGTTGCGGTCAAAGTATAATTTTTTTTGTGATTTACATTTATGCGTATTTTTTTCACATACGTGATCAATTTTATCTTCATTAATAATTGTATGACTAGAAGATGAGATCAGTTGGTCAGTAATATCACGATTTATTTGGAATTTTATTTGTAAATCACACTTGCGTGTTTTTTCTTCACATGCGTGATGAATGCTATCAACAAGAGCTGAGAATGTTGGTTTCCGATAAAAATTTTCAAAATTAAGATCATATGCAAATTTTTTCAAGAGATGATTACGAAGAAGCACTAAAAGAAGTGAATGACCACCAGAAATAAAAAAGTCATCATTTGGTGATGTGAGGTTACTTATTCCAAGTAGTTGACACCAAATTTTTTTGATTTTCATAATTATTGAAGTTCTCATACTTTGAGAATTCTCGGAAATACTATCATTCCTGCAATGTTCCAAGTGATTAGCAGAATAATTTTGAGAATACTCAATAATTTGAAGCTCATTGCATTTATGATATTCTGATTGATCTCTACTTAATAGTCGTTTTAGAATATTTTGATCAATTTTGCCATTTCGATTTAATGGAATCGTCTTCAGAACAATAATTTGCTTGGGTATCATATAATGTAGCAATTGTTCCTTTAAATATTCATGCAAACCTTTGCATGAAGAATTGTTCTCAATAAATAAAACTAAATTATCTAATCGTTCATTTTTTAGTACAATAATATTACGTATTGTTGAATTCCAGCGCCTTACAGTAGCTTCTATTTCTGCTGGTTCCACCCGATAACCACGTATTTTCAATTGTGCATCTTTACGCTCAAGGAAATGATACTTTCCATCAAGTTTTAGTGCTAAATCTCCCGTATAATAGCAACGAAGAGCGTTGCGATTAAGAATTACATCTTCTCTAGTATGAAGCGGATTCAATGTAAAATCATTTTCAGAATGATGCTTGTTTATGTATCCACGAGCTACACCCTCTCCAGATATAACTAGTTCACCCTTAACTCCATCACAAGCAAGTTTACCTCCTGAATTTACCGAATAAACAAACTCGTTATTGATTGCTTTTCCAATAATTCGACTAGTTTCAGATTCCCACATGGAACATTTGTTACTCAGTGACCAAATAGTTGTTTCAGTTGGACCATAAATTTGACTAATACGAATTCCTTCCTGTAACAATCGGTTAATCCGTTGACTGTTCGGAGTTTCACCTCCGACAAATAAACTTTCAACTGTTCGTAATTTGACTATTTCTTCTTCTTCGAACTTATTGAACAAAGCTGATGGTAAAAAAGCAAAATTTATCAATTTTTCTGGTATCTCTTGAATTGCATTGAGAATATTTTCCGATTGTACTAAACAACATCCGTTTGATAAAGTTGTAAAAATATTCATGCAACTAACATCAAATACAGTATTTACAGAATGATAGATTCGAAGTTCAGGACGAAAAGCTGCTTCTTGTGTAGCTGAAATGACAAAGTTCAGAAGGTTGGCATTTGTAACACATACTGCTTTTGGTTTGCCAGTAGATCCACTAGTAAAAATAACATATGTAGCATCGAAATTTTGATTCATACATGGCCTTGTACTACATGAAAAATTCCCGCAGTAATCAATACTTTGTGTTTTTGTATCGTTGCAAGAATGAATTTTAAGATAAGATAGTGATAAGACAGGAATATTCAAATCAAGATCATCATTGTCTACAATGATAATTGCTCCATTTATGTGTTTAACTAATTGTTCAATCACATTTGAAGTATTTACAGGATCAATAGGTGCATAAGCAGCACCTGTAAGTTGAACTGCTAAAAGTGGTAAAATTATTGTATTGGAATTAGCACAAATTGGTATTACGGTATCGGCACGAATACTTTCGCCAATATTTTGCAAGTAAAATTGTTTTATTTGTTTGCAAAATTGTTCAATTAATTTGTACATTTCTCGATAGCTAATGTTGTTTCCATGTGATTTGCATAAAGCTGCATAATTTGCACTAAGTATGCATTGTTGACTAATTATAGAGATAAGATTTTTCAGCATTGGTAAATCTTGATAACTTATTATCGATCGTAAATCTTGACGATAATTTACTGATAATCTTGATTTTTTTTTGCTATTTTCTGGTAATTCCGAATCGATATGCATATTAGATGCATATAACGTTTTATCATTTTCATTAGTAAGAGATTTAAGTAACTTGAGGTATTGTCGAATGATTGCATCAGTGAGTTGATTGGAATACAATCTAGAATTGTAATCTAGACTTATTTGAGTTCCTTGATCCGTTTCATCGATCGTACAAGCAAAATTAAAAGCATCATTATTATTGGTTAATTGTGATATGCTACTTTCAACATTTGCCATTTCCATTTTGGGAAAATCTAAATTATGCCGATAATTAAAAAATATATCAAATATTGGATGTTGCTGAAGATTTCTTTGTTGATTATTAAGCTTAGCGACTAATATATGAAATGGAATGTGCTCAAACTTTCGAGCATTTTGGATTGCTTCAGCTACTTTTTGGAATAAAATTTTAGCACTTGTATTTAGTTGGAAATCATTCACAAACAGGACAATATTATTTAGAAAATAACCAATTACAGACTTCATTTCTTCTGCTTCTGATCTCCCAGATACTGCACATCCGATCACAATATTATGCATCTGATGGTAGTCAGTACAAAATTCTTGAATGAGGCACAAAAATGCAGTAAGCATTATGGTATATACAGTATGCTGACATTGCTTAGCTGTTCGTATAATTTTCGACCAAAGCAATTCAGGAATAACAAATACTTTGCGTTTTATAAGTTTTGAATTTGATGAAATTTGAGTTTCATGAGTAATAATTCGGGTTGCTTGAAGTCCATCAAATTTTTCACATAAATAATGAAGATCATTTTGTATTCTTTCACTGAATTCTTGACTACGTTGCCAGATGGCAAAATGTGCTAGATTCTGTGATAATCGTCCGAGAGATTCGGGAATGCTTTTTTTTTCATGAAAGCAATGATAAAAGCTAGTAAGTTCATTAGCAAAGACTGTCATGGACCAACCATCGGTACTAATATGATGTTGATTAATTATAATAGAGAATTGATTTCCATCAGTATTACTTGATGATTTTTCAATACACATTGGTAGCAGTCTGAAAGGTATCTGATTTAAGTCAAAGATTTGATTTTTTTCATCTTCAATAAATTTTTGAAGTTGAGATTCACTTCTATAAGGCCAACTGATATGATAATAAGATTCAGTGAGAGAATAAATTTCTTGATAACAAGTAATATTTATTGTAGGAAATGCAGTACGTAATGAAGTTTGCCGAGCAATAAGGCATAACATAGCTTTACGTAAACTCTTAGTACAAAGTTTTCCGTGAAAAGTTAGTAGAAAACAAATATTATAAAGTGATGGTTGATATAAATGCCGTAAGATATACATATTTTCCTGTGGATAACTCAGTGGAATTTTCACAAATTCACCACTGCTATCGAGAATTGAAAAAGTTTTCAATTTCTGATATCGCAAAATATTTTCAGATGCATTTATCCTTTGCAAGTAATGTAGAAAATCTTTGAATTTAGAATTTTTGAGCAAATTATCTAATTTCAAATTAATTTTTGTAACTCGATTGATTTCCCAAATAATTTGCATACCATTCAAAGAATGTCCTCCTAATTGAAAAAAGTCATCAGAATCAGTAATATTTTCAACTGCTAAACAATCCATCCAAATTTTCGAAATAAAATTTTTCAAATCGTTGCAATTGACTTCTTCATCCTTTTTTTTGAGTTTTTTTTTCTCTGAATTTCGAAAATTCAATTTTCTAAATTCTTTTATAATTTCATTGGGATTAACGAAGGATACAGCGACTAATCCTCGTTCATGCAAGCAATTCAAGATTAGCTCTTCTGCATTATCCTGCAGTATCGAATTCTGCATAATCAAATTTGCTACAGGATTCTGGGTTTGAATAGCATATTCTTCGAGCATTTGGCTTCCTTTCCAACCCATCCATTGAATGCTTGTAATATTCTGAATATTGCAAAACTTTTGATCACATAATGCATCGAGAAAGCTGTTTGATGCTGCATAATCACTATTACCTGGTAGTCCAAATAATGCATTCATGCTCGAATTTAAAATCAAACTTCGAATTGCGATATTATTTTCTGATAAAACTTTTAGTACATTTCGAGTTCCATTAATTTTAGGTTGCAAAATAGATTCAATTTGAGAAAAATTTTTCTCAAATACGTTTGGATGATTTCTGCTAGCTGCCGCATGAATAATCACATCAATTCGACCATATTTAGCGATAATATTTTGTAGCAAATTTCTGACTTCAACATATTTGCTAATGTCAACATCGTTTGCTATGATTTTGTGTTCATCGCAATTATTTCCATTTTGCCACTCATGGATTTTATCTTGTAGTTGTAAAAAATGACGAGTAGCATTTGGACTACTTGAATAAATGTTTAAAGCTTTGAAGTTTTGGCATAAAACTTTTAGGAATGATTGACCGATTCTGCCAAATCCACCAAAAATTACAATAATATCATGATTCTGGATCAAACAATTTTGTGTTAGCTTTGAATCATTGTGAAATAATTTCAGAAAATATGAAAAATATTCGTATTGATCATCGACAAGATTTCTTATTAGCGAGAAATCTGGTTGAAAACTTTCAAGTAACTGCAATGCTTTGAATAAATTAACTTCTGATTTGCAAAGAAGAGAAGTACAATGTACTGAATTTTGCATCATGATTAACTCTCTAATTGGATTAAGAGCAGTATAAGATTCTGCTTCAGAATCCTGACCAATCAGTATTAGAAACCTTAGAATATTTGAGGTCGACACAATATTTTGTATTATCCACCGAATAGAATAGAAACTTGATAATAAAGTTGGCTCTTTATAAAGGCAAGCATTTTCAATACAGAAATTCCATGCATGAATAATAGTATCAAAGTGAAAATTCTGATCACAAAGAATATCAGCCAGTTGTTTATAAGACTTTTCAGTCAGATCACTAATATAAGTATTACTATCAGTTTGATTGAAATAGAGGTATTTTGAATCCGATGATAAGTTAGCATTGAGAACACAAAAATAAGGTATGAAAAGATTTCGTAGGACTACCAAAAGTTCATTTATTGATTTGTTAGGAATTATTGGTGCAAATATTAAAACTCCCTTAGAATTCCATATTGACTGAGAAGTAAAGTTGATTGGTACCCAGCATGGTTGATAGAAATTGATTTCATTAACTGCTGCAATATTTACCTTCTGGGTTTCAGATTCCCAACAAATGTCTTCTTCAAACTGATAATTTGGAAGAAATCTATCAAAACCATAATTTCCGCAAATTTTTTCCCAATTTATTGGATAACCTTTCATCCATAATTTCGAAGCAATACTTAGTAAATTATCGTTATGAGCTTCTTTTTCGTGTTGCTTCTTAGATGGTAAAGCAGAAAGTACCAAAGTTTTTTTCTGATCGTTTTTGAGTAAACTCTGTAGCACTCCTTTGGGACCAATTTCCACGATGACCTTGACATTTTCAGGTAGGTTTTCAATGCATTTATCAAGACGAACAGTACTTCGCAAATGTTTCACCAAATATTCGCAATTAAAATTTTGAATTGGCTTTCCGTCAATATTTGATAAGATTTGTTTTGAAGGTTTTCGGAATGTAAACTTTTTTAAATACTCAGCAAATTCATCAAGAATACAGTCCATAAATGATGTATGAAAGCCATAGTTAGTTACCAATTCTTGGCAATTTATTTCACTCGTTTTTAATTTCTCTGCAAGTTCTTCGATAGAACCAGGTTTTGCAACTACACAATGTAAATTTTTGCTCAAAACCGCTGAAACTTCAATATTTCCCGCATTTTCTTCCGACACATCAAGATTTCCCGCATTTTCTTCTGACACATCAAGATTTCCCGCATTTTCTATGATCATATTCAAATTTATTACATCTTCTCTGGTTTCACTAAAATCGCTAGCAGTTTCTACGGCCGCATGAAGCTCTAATGCATTTGTTATATGATCTTCTGATCTAGAAATGAGACTATTACAAGTCTTAATCGCTAACATTTTAGCTCTGCCTGTTCTTGCAATTAATTGACCTCGTTTGCAAAGAATACTCAAAGCAGTTTCTACGTCAAAAACATCAGAATGAGCCGCAGCTACATATTCTCCCAAACTGTGACCAATAAGAGTATTTGCATCAATCCCCCAAACTTGCAGTTGTTTCACCAATGCATAACTGATCATAAACATTGCCATCTGAGAGTAAGGTTGCTTACTGATCACTTCCTGATCTTCGCACTTATTTTTTGGATAAATTATTTCTTCGAAGTTTTCACCAGTTAAACTGCTGGCAATTTTACAACATTTTTGCATAACTTGTCGAAATGTATCGTTTTCTTTCAATGCTTCATATCCCATATTTGTATATTCTAATCCTTGAGGTGGAAAATAAAATACCAAGTTGTTATCGTTAAATTCTTCAACTTTGCTTACTTTTTCAATGTTTTTCAGTTTATTTACAGCATCAGAAATTGTTCTGGCAGTAATTGCTATACGGTACTCAAAGTGTTCGCGGTAATTTTGTAGGGTGCTTGCTATTTGCGCGATATTCATTCCTTCAACTAGATAATCCATTACACGATTACAAAGCTTAATACAAGCTATTTCACTTTTTCCTGTCACAGTTAAAGCGTAAAATTTCTGTACATCTGATTTATTTTCAGGCTGTAGCTTATGAACTGCTTCAAGAATAATATGCGCATTAGTTCCACCAATTCCAGAACTATTCACAGCGAGTCGTAAATTTTTGTTTCTGTCAAATTGTACATTACATTTTGGTATTTGAAAAGCGATATCACTGAGAGATTCATTGAAGGCTTCAAAGTTGATTTGTCTCGGTACTATATTAGTCTCAGCAATTTTACACAATTTAATAATGGAAGCAATAGCTGATGCAGCTAAAGCATGTCCAATATTTGCCTTCACTGAGCCTACTAGTGTATTGTCAGGATAGATTTGAGACATTGCTGTAAGCTCAATCAGATCACCTGTTGTTGTTCCTGTTCCGTGACATTCAACGTAATCTACAGTAGATTTACCAGACATTCTATTTGCTTCTTTAATACAAGCACGCTGACCAGAAATATTTGGTGCCATAAAACTAGATTTCATTAATCCATCATTACTCATACCGTAACCAGCTACTTTAATAATCACTGAATAATTATTATGCTGGTTTATGTCAGTTATACGTTGAAGCACTACAACTCCGACAGCTGAACCTCTAACTGTACCACTAGATTTTTGATCAAATGGACGACAGTGTCCATCAGATGATAATATCATTCCATGTGGAATAAGATTGTTATTCGAAATTTGCATAGGATTAGCTAAAGATACTGCTCCTACAAGAACGGCATCACATTGATTGCTTTGCAACAAACTGATCCCTTGAATGATTGCAACAAGTGCTGTTGAACAAGCAGAATAGATACCGAATGAAGGACCATGAAGATTCAACAAATGACTGGTCCAACTTGCAACAAAATCCTTCTGATTCATCTCGTATAATCCTTCAATACCACCAACATGACGTGATTTTGGACGGTATTTTGATGGTTCTGCTCCAGCAACAACACCTATGCGTAATTTATTACGTAATTGAATAAGGCCAGATCGTTCTAATGCAATATATGCATGTTCAACAAATTTGCGAATCTGTGGATCAATGTAACATGCATCAGCAAAACTGATTTTCCAAAATCGATAATCAAACTTATCAATATCTGGGACAAGACCCACGGATATCTGCTTCTGACCATTATCACTCTTATAGCTTTGAATTTCAATCAATTCTTCACCATTCAAAAGTGAATTCCAAAAATTTTGATCATTAATTGCTCCAGAAAATGCACCTGAATAACTTGATATTGCAACGAAATCCTTGTTTGCTTCAAACGAATCGTGAATTTTTGAAATATTCGTTCCATCACATTCTGGTAAATTTTGCATTACATACTCTGTTAATGTATTTACAGTACAATATTCGTAAAAAATAGCAGTAGGAATATGCAATTTAAGTTTATTCTTAAGTGATGTCTGCATTTCGTTGATCATCAGAGAATCAATTCCCATTGACATGAAACCTAAATCAGAATTGATTTCTGTAATACCACTTACTTCCATAATGCAGTGTTTAATAACTGAATCCACATTAAACTTGTATTTTGCTATTTCATCTGCTGCACTGATTAACGACTTCATCTGTATATTGTCGAAAGTTGTCCTTTCTTGTGAATCACTGGAAGTAAGTAATTCCAAAAGATTTTTCAAATAGAAACACTTGCTTTGTAATATATCAAAATCTATATCCATTACAATGTAATGACCTTTGCAGTCAAGCATTTTCGTACATAACTGAGCTACTTGTTTAGCATTCATTAATTTCCATCCAGTTTTACGGACTTGCTCGCGAATACCTCTCAGATGCTTTCCAGCTAGAAGGCCTCTTTCTTCCCATGGCCCCCAGCTTATCACTAATCCATTTGGCATATCCTTTTCCATCATAAATTCCATAACTTCGTTAGCCATTGCATAATTTGTCTGTCCAACTGAACCAATAATTGATGCTGCAGACGAAAAAGCTACAATCTTCTTGCTATCATAAATTGTTGATAGTTTGATAAGATTTTGTAAGCCAAGAAGTTTTGGATTACAAACAGATTTGAATTTTTCAAAAGTCATATCATTTATCAACGCATTGCTAATTACTGCTGCGCAATGAAATACCACATCAAATGGTGCATATTTGATAAAAATTTTTTTCATTTCTTGATAATCAGTACAATCTGTTTGAATGCATTTAATTTCAGTGCATTTCTTGTCGTATTCAGAATTGTCAGGTAAACTTCTGGAAACAACAATGGCTAGATTGGGATTCAGATTAGCAATCAATTCTCCTGCTATTCCTTTGATATTACCTGTAATCAGAATTCGATCTTTCTTCTGTGGTATTATAGATTCAAAGTGATTATTTATTCTTTGTAATCTTTGCAAATACTTTTGACCATTTCTGTACCAGATTGTTTCATTTATATTGTTTTCAGTACAAATATCAGCTAGTATACGTTCATTCAACGTATCAGTAAGAACACTCTTAAAATTAATATTTCTGCTTTCAGCTGCTAACGTTTTTAATAAACTAGAACATGGTCCGAAGAATCGATCAAGTTGCAAGTCACGTTTGCAAATAGTGAAAACAATTAAGCATAAATTTGACGTTTGATTCACGTTTTTTCCAATTACTCTGGTGTTGCTGTTAAATTCACTTTGATTCGCCATTAAAATAGTCCATAACTTAATAACTATCATACTTTGTTTTATGCTACTTTCCAATAAATTCTCCTTATCATTTATCCATTCCATAATTAATTTTCTGCATTTTATAATTTGCATATGCCGCTGAAGCTCAAAAATATCTTCATCGTTATTTACGTGGAAATGGGAGTTTGCCTTTTCACTTATTATATTTTTTGTGTTTGTGACATTTACAGCGATGTATAAGGTCATCTTGTCTACATTCGATAGTATACTCGGCTTATGTATCAACCTATAAATACCATATTGAGGATTAGAATCCATCTCACTGTTGCTGCACCATGTATTCCCTTCAGAGCTCCATACGAGATTTTCTTCAAGTTCATCTTTTTTTTCACGGATTGTTTCCGATTGCGATTCCAGTGATGAAGTGAGCATTCTATCAGGCGACTTTTTTTTTGCGTCATTTATATTTTTAACCTTTTTGTTGTTGACCGTGCCACTATTGAAAGGCCAGTATCTTTTTTTAGAGCAAATGGTATCAGGAATTGGAATATACATCCCAAACTTTCGATCATAGAGAAATTTCCAATTAATATCTACAAAGTGCTCATATAATTGGCAAATTGTTATTGCAAATTGACTGCTAAATGATTTTTTCCAATGCAAAGTATGCAAATTTTTAGGTTTTTCGATATGCAAATTTTGCAGATTAATGACGCAGTCGAAATCATCTAGAATCGCTTTCTCTTGGATTCTGAAAGAATAGAGCTGATCTGATTTGGTACTATCGTAGTATCGACTGTATTTCATATAGTCCTTGAATTTCTTCAATTGAGCTATAGTAATTTTATCAATTTTACTTGTTGCAAGCACAATTGTTGGTTGTATCCCGAGATTCAATAAGAATATAATTAATGAAAGTTTAGCAGTGATTTCGAGTTTTGATTTTCTACGTGAAGAAATCAAATTGTTAACTGGAGCGTCCACATTTTTAAGACATTCTTTGAAGATTCTCAGGTACGATCGATAAGTAAAACACAATTCTGAAATCATTGCAAATTCTGGCATATTGTTCATAATCAAAAGGATCTTCTTCCATTTTACAGGTTGAGTTTCTGTTATTTGATCAAGAATATTTTTTGAGATATGTCTTTTTACTGGTATAGCTATTCGATATTTATTGTTGCTTCTGAAATCTTGTAAACAAGCGCAGATTGCTGCAAGATTATATTGGCATGTTTGTAAGTAATCGGTTAAAACTTTCCATGATGATTCTAAATCTTTTGAATTGCTATCAGACCATAAGAGTATTGGTCTAGGATTCCACAGTGCTATTGCTTCTCGTCCATGTACTATCAAATTTTTCTTACGAGAATATTTGTTCTTTTGACATCGAATTACGCATGATACGTTGATGCCACTAAAACCGAAAGAGTTTATGAGAACATTCAGTGTTCCATCAGGTAACTCTTCACCTACTATTGGAAGTACTAATGAGTTGGCACAATCTGATTTCAGATTTTGATTTAGCAACCGGAAATGCTGCATAGATGGTAAGTATGAATTCCGACATGATTCTAAAACCGTAATTAGTGATGCTGCACCAGCGGCTGCTTCGCAATGAGCTATAGAGCTTTTTACTGATGTAGTGTAAATCCGTTGATTAGGATATCCCAAAGTTTCAGCAATAGCTTCCATCTCGATTGGATCACCTAATGAAGTTCCTGTTGCATGAGATTCTACCCAATTTATAACTTCAAAGTTTTCACGTGTAACTTTACGCATCAAATCTTGTTCGCTTGAACTACTTGGTACTGTTAATCCACTTGAATACCCTTTATGATTCATCGCGCAATTTTCGATTGTAAACGTAAAATCATTTGCAGATTCAATTAAAGTTTCAGTTTCCAAATTACTTTTATCCATTGCTTGGAGAAGTATCATAGCAGCTGCTTCAGATCGAACATATCCATCAGCATCTGCATCAAATACTTTACATGAACCAGTTTTACTCAGCATTTTAGCACTATCAAGTACAGAAGTTGTTTTTGAATTTAAAATAATATTTACCGCTCCGACCAAAGCTGCGCAACATCTGCCTAATTTAATATTGTCATAAGCAATTGTAAGAGCAGAAAAAAATGATGAACATGCAGTATCAATTACCAAACAAGGACCAGTTAGATTAAGCCAATGCGCTATACGACCGGCTAGAACACTTTGATTTGTACCGGTAGTTAAATAAGAGCAATCTTCTGGGAGTTCTCGAAATGCTTTCTGAGCAAAATCATTGGAGCTGACTCCAATAAACACACCGGTATTGTGATGTAACTTTTGTAAGCCAGCTTTTTGGAGTGTTTTCTGAGTTAATTCCAACAAAATCCTTTGTTGAGGATCCATATAAATTGCTTCATTTGGTGTAATCCCAAAATAAATTGGATCAAAAGTACTTATATCTCTTCCAAACTTACAAACATTTTCTTGACAATTTATGTTTGTTCCACTCTTCAGATTATTCCAAAGCGTTTCGGTATCAACTGCTGATTCTGGAAATAAACCTGCATAACTAGTAATTACTACTTGTACAGATAAATTATGGCTTTTGTTGACTTCAGTATTTGATACATAAGTATCGCTTGGGCTGATTTTGTTTCTTAACTTATTTTCTTTTTCTAGATTGCTCGGATTTATTCCTTGATCTATTTGTTGATATTTATTAAAGCTTGGAGTACTTGAAGATAATGATGAATTGGAATAGAAGTTAGGATTATTCAGTTTTGGTATGATTTGGTTTGCATTCATATCAATAGCTGATACATTATACAGAGTGATAATGGTCTCATCATTATTGCAGACAATGGCTGAGCCAGTACAGATGTTATCAGTAAGATTTGTGATAATAGCATATACTTGATAACGATTGCCATCCTTTCTTGCAGAAATACTTCTCATCCACTGATCACAGTTGCTGTATTTGATCAAGATCTTCTCAATCACAAATGGAATGAATAACGAGCATTTAGAATTGATCATGAGTGCTACTGATATAAGCTGAAGTGCTCCATCGATCAGTCTTGTTAGATCAGCTGAATTGACCAGTACTGCAGTAACTAAATTACTTTGATCACGATATATATCACGTAAAACTTGATATTTTGCTCCATACTGTAATCCTGCTGATTGCATTGTTTTATAGAAAATTTTATGAGAAAATTTAGTCATAGTAGATAGTAAATGATGATTATATTTGAGGTGAAATTCATGCAAAATATCAATTGCTTCCATTTGGTTAATGTCTTTCCCACGTGTTTTGATGCTCAACTGGCAATTACAGAACTCATCAACGTTATCGGTCAATAATAGTTCGCAGCAATTGCAACATTTTATTTGAAGGTTACGTAAGTCACGCTCATTCACTCTTTTCTTCAAGTGTAACTTTTCCAGTAATATAGTTTTATAATTATCTACTATATGACATTTTGAAGATGGTTTTTCTTGTTTTTCTTCATCAAAAGTACACGTTTTTCGCGTATTAACAGCGAAATTTATGAATATAGCAATGATCAGTGCTGCAGGAACAGTTGTTTGATCATAAATTAGGTGCTCATTGATCAATTCCATCATATATTTATCATTTCTGATGTCAAATACTGCAGTGCTTTCTTTAAAGAATAATTCAAGATTATTCTTTGAATTTGCATCTTTACAAATTCGATTCCATTTAATTTTGATTCCAAAATTTTGTAACTGGCATAAAGAATCAATGAATGAATCTACCTCTTGCTTACCATCCTTGATTCCTGAACAAATTAGCATGTTTTGAGACGATTTCAATGTATTCTGTACAAATCTTGACAGCACTTCACCATTTCCAATTTCAAGCCATACTTTTGTATTGTTAATATTCAAAGTTTCAATGCATTTTTTGAAAAGTACTGGTGATCGAATTGGAGCTATGCATGCTGCTTCAGAAGTTATGAATTCTCCTGAACTATTTCTTACAATATTTTTGATTGCTTTTTGTAATTTTCCAAATTTGCATGCTATTTTGTATTGATTAACAAGATAATCGTCAATTACTGAACTGTGAAAAGGATACTGATCTTCAATTACAGTAGCTGAATATTGCTTTCTTTGAACATAATGTAAGCAACGTTGGATTGATAAATTACTTCCTGATAAAATTACTTGTTGATTACTATTTTCAGCTGCTCGATTTAATCCACTATAATTTTCGAGTTCTTCTGCGATTTCTTTCGATACTGCGATCATTTTGCCTTTACCTCTGATAGATTCGAGCATTTTGCCTCGTTGTAGGACTAATTTCAGTGCATTGTGCAATGATAATCCACCAGCTAGCGTGTAAGCAACAAGTTCTCCAACACTGTGTCCTACGTAAAAATCAGCGTATACACCGCAAAATTCGTAAAGTTTTGCAAGTGAATATGCAAAGCAATAGATAATTGCTTGAGCGTATTCTGTTTTGTACAGTAATTTTTGATATTTCCAATCGTAGATTATATCTCGAAGTTTAACACTGTTATTTCGCATTAGTTTTGTAGCAGTATGCAATGTTTGTTCAAAAATTTTTCCAAAAAAGGGAAAAATGAAGCTAAGCTGTCGTCCCATATTCCAAACTTGGCTTCCTTGACCACTAACCATAAAAGATATTATCGGTTTAGCGGACTTCTGAGCACTGTTCATAATTTGAGAATGCAGTATCTGTTTCTGTACATCTTTTCGTTTAGAACCCCAAATCACTTGTAAGTATTTACAAAACCTAGCATTTTTTATTTGATCTACTAATATTCTCGATATTCCTGAAGGTGTATCTAAGAGTTTTGCATAATACAACTTCATATTTTCTGGTACTTCTCGATCTTTCCAATAAAGTACGAAGAAATTGAAGTTTTTTGTGATATGTCCATCTTCCAACTGAGTATCGTTGCTACATTTAGCAATTGTTTGTGGGTTCTTTTTGATAATGTGATAAGGTTGCAAGTGAATATAAGAAGCCAGTTTTTCCACAGTAGGATTTTCAAATATTGTTAAAACGTTGAGCGAAGGAATGCTTTCAATATTTTCAGTTAATGCATTTACAAGCTGGTATATTTTTAAAGAATCAAAGCCAAGATCTATAAAGCTCTTCTGATAATCTTCAACAGTAAATTTTCGCCCAATGACTTCTTCCATAGATTTGATAATTATCGATTTGATAATAAATATATTTACAGGAATATCGTTGTTTCTTGAACTATTTCCAGATAATCCTTCGAGTACTGTCTTCGTAGGTAACTTCCATTGTTGAGATTCTTGAATCTTCATATTGGAAGTTATTAGTTCAGATGAATTCTTGTTATCAAGTGCAAATATTGATATTAAATCCGGACGATATAATGATATTTTGTTTATATTTAACTGACAAACAATTAATCTTGGTGGGCTGTAATCAATAGCATATTTAAAATATTTCATAGCAATGGCTGTTTTCAAGCCTGTGAAACCCATACGATTTAAGTTACTATTGGCTTGAACCGCCATCCCAGTCTCGAGCCAATTACCCCAGTTGATTACTGTAGCTGGTAAGCCAGTAACTTTTCGCTTTTCAAGCATAAATTCATCGATGAATGCATTAGCTGCAGAATAATTGCATTGACCCCTATTACCAATAAGTGCAGAAATAGATGAATTAACAATAAATCGTTTAATTGGATGTGAACGTGAAAATTTTTCTAGTATTAATAAACCGTAACATTTTGCTTTTGTAGCAAGCTGAAGCGTTGAAAGACTTTGCTTAATAGCAAGGGCATCATGAATACATCCTGCACTATGAACAATACCAGTTATTAATAATTTTAAATTACCAAAGAATTGTTTCATTTGCGTGTATGAACTGATATCCACCGAAAAAGCTCGTATGTCAACGTTTACAGTAACACGAATTTTGTTCATTTGGTGATATTGCCTTTCAGTTGGTTCTCGTCTAGATAATAAAATTATATGCGAAACTTTCTGATTAAATGCTAGAAATTTAGCCATTTGCCAACCGATTCCTCCAAGACCTCCAGTAATAATCCAGTTCTGTTCTGAATTATTGTCAGCAATTGAACTATCGAATTTTAATCCATAACTTCTTAACTTTTTCATTTTTTGTAGAATAAAATTCCATTCATAGCGTACTTTAGGATATAATTCAGCACACAAACTTTTAGCATATCCTAATGCAAATGCATTAATCTTTCCAAGGTCAGATTCACTGCAAAATATAAAAGTACTCTGGGATTTATTAATAATTTCTGTAAGTAAGAGCAAAATTTGCATAAGTTGTTGCAGAGGAAAATTATCACTGAATTCAAATTTGATCATTACCGTTTGACGTCCAAGTAAGTGTTGAGAAAAACGATGCTTTAACTGTTGTAGATCTTCATGATTGAAATAAAGAATGCTAGAATCATTTTTATGAGAAAAATTTGGATTCTGATCCTTGATATCGATTAGCATTATATTACGTGATTTTGATTTTTTCCTCTGATCGGTGATGATTAGTGTAAAATAATGATTTTTTGATTGTTCGTTTAAAAATACTTGACTATATGCACAATTTTCTTCTTCAGAAGAAGTTGAAATTTGATCACTGATTGAGCTTTCACGATTATTTTGATCATTATTCGTTTTTTTCTTCGTTGAAGCATTTTTTTCACTATTACTAATCTTAATTTGATTTTTTTGATCAATGTTTACTCGTGTAGATGATATTTTCCGACTATGAATTGCATTAGTCAGAGCATAAATATTGGGATAATTAAATAGATCAACTACTCCAATTTGTTGATCTGGAAAGTAAACAGTATTTAATCGATTAGTAAGATCAGTCATTGCTAAAGAATCGAGGCCAAGTTTTGTGAATGGTACTGTTAACTGATCATCGTTTACAGTAGTACTACTCCTTCTGATGTCGTCAACTGCTCGTCGTATTTTGCACATGTATTCTTGATAAGTATTTGAAAATTGACCCACATCTTGATCGGATTTCAAATTGTTTTCGACTGCTCGATTGTCTTTCTGGTTTCTTTTTTCTTGCTTATCGTTATCGACTTTACTTTCAAAAGTGCCACTGATAATTTCTATACCTTTTTCGTTGTACAGAATAATTCGTGATCGCTGCACCAAAATGTACATCGTTTCAAATTGAAATACATTAACTACCAGATATTTCATTCTAAATTTGGGCTTTTCATAGATACCACGTGGATGTAGAATATTATGAAAGCAAGCTACTTGAATCAAGCTTTCTATGGCAAGAAAAATTTCTGAACAATTTTTTGCTACAAAAATCTGTTCGTCATTTGAAGTACGTGTAATGGTATTATAGATTCCTTTGTAGTACAGTCCATTCTCTTTGAGAAGACTGTAGAAATTTGCTTTGCTAATAAACTCTCCCATTTCTTTCACATTTAATAATTCTCGAACTGTTTTTGTATCCTTTTTTGAGTAAATAATTGCTTGACAAATAATTTTCGAATCACATCTTATTGCTACAGAATACCTTTCATCTTCATACTTTTTTACTGTCGTTTTGATCCAATCATTTTCTTGCAGAATATATCTAGCCATAGTAATATCTTGCAGCACGTAATGCAGACGTGATTCTGTGTCATAATTCAGGCTAAAACTTAGTCGTAATGCTTGAATAAGAGCTTCACAGCAAACACCGAATGATAAACGTATTTGTCCATCAAATGTAAAGTTGATAAGCTTCGAGCTAATCAAAGTACTGATTTGATTCTCAAAAATTACTTTTTTCTCGTTTCTTTCCACTAATCTTCCGATCAGAGGATCATCTATCACTTGTAATGGTTCATTTGTGATCCAGTATGATTCACGTTTAAATTGATAATTCGGAAGTATTACTCGTTCTTGTGGCCATTCATACAAATACGTCCAATTAATATTATTACCTCGCAAATAACACACTGCTATAATTTTCATTAATTCGTACTCAGCAAAATTCCTACCTGAAGGCTTACTTTTTGTACTGTACAAACTATACCACAAGAAGTTTTTATCGTGTCGATTAGTCATTGAAGATTGTTGCGTTAAAATGTGAATATCAGAAAAAGTTATTGGCAATTCTGAAGTATTAAACTGATTGAATTGTAATTTGCCAGTAATCAAGTAAGCAGCAGTTAGTGATAATTGATCTTGTGGATTAATAACGTTTATATTAATGCCAATATTCTTTAGAAACATAATAGTTGCAAGTAGACCAGACAGTATAATTATATTTTGCAGTTTTCGAAATATAATAGAATTTTTTTGCTTCAAAAAACTTCGTAGAATTTGAAAATATTTTTTAAAATTTATCCTAAACTTCGGGAAATTTGAATAAAACGTGAATAACGCATGTTGGCAGGTAACACTTGATAAGTTTAATCCAATTCCTGCGATGTTTTTAGCGATTTCTGACTTGTAATCAATAATTTTATTTCTATGAATAAAAATTACATCTCGATGTTTAAAGTGAATGCGATGAAGTGCTGCTGCAGCGCAGATTTCGTTCATCGGATGACAAGTATTTGAAAGCATTATGTTATATTCCGTCATTAGCATATTCAGGGAGTAAGCATTTTTTGCAGAAATTGGACAAATATACGTTTGACATTTAATATGCAAATTTTTTGGTACTTTATGCTTCATCTTCTTGTAAGAATGAAATATTACCATAGCATTTGTTCCACTGATGCCAAATGAACTTAAACCTGACAGTATACCATTCCATTCTTCTCCAATAATTGGTAAATACAGATTTCCATCTTGAAAATTTGACAAAAACTGGTATGATCCATGTTCTGGTATATATCCATGTTGAAATTGAAGTAAAATTTTTGCAATTCCACTAACACCTGCTGCAGCTTCTGAATGACCTAATTTTGTTTTGATTGTACCAATCAAACATTGAGATAAATTAGACTGTAAAGACTTTAATTCTATCGCATCACCGATTACGGTACCAGTACCGTGTGCTTCCCAGTAATTAATCGGTTGTGTTAATTTTGACTTTGGAACTTTGTTTAAACAATCACGTAATAAGTTTGCTTGAGATGCTCCGTTAGGTGCAGTAAGAGATGCGCTTTGTCCATTGTGACCAATACTGCTGGACACTATGCTGACTTCATAAGTAGCGTTAGAACATTTTTGAAGATCTTTATCGATACTCAAAAGAAGTACCACACATCCATCAGCTCTACCATAACCACTTGATAGTGAATCAAAACTACGGCACTTACCGTCATCAGCTAATATCTTTCCATTAGCTCTTTGACCTATACTTTCTTCTGTAAGGATGAGATTAACTCCAGCTACCACTGCCATTTTGCAGTGTCCAGCTTGCATTGCATGAATAGCAGTTTGTAGTGCGACTAAACTTGAACTGCATGCGGTATCTATCGTAATTGCTGGTGCTGTACTACCAAATAAATAATTCAGACGACCGCTAATAACGCTAGCACTAGAGCCAAGCATTGATATGATATCTTGAGATTTCTTGATATCTGGATATTCATTTGCCATGAAACCGATAAAAAATCCTGTCTCTTGTAGTGATGTTAAACCAGCATTTTCCATACATTCATAGGTACATTCTAGTAATAACCTTTGTTGTGGATCCATTTTTTCTGCTTCACTACGAGAAATGCCAAAAAATTCTGCATCAAACTGACTAATATCTTGGACTAAAAAATTAGCACATCGAACAGAATTACCGTATTTGTCTCCAGCTAAGTTATCTCTACTTTTAATTCTTGAACATGGAATTTTGCTTGCCATTATTTGACCTGTCATTAAAGCATCCCACAATTCGGCTGGATCATGTATATTTTTTGGCAGACGACAAGCCATTGACTTAATATGCACTAATTTTTGGTCTTCACAGAATGAAGTGCTTGACTGATAAAATTTGTTAGATTCTGATGCTGCTAATTCGTCCTTCATTAGTTTGCTTATTGATTCGGAATCAGTTTTAGACGATTTTGAGGTACTCGGCATGAATATTTCTGATATAACTAATTTTTCATGAGGTATGTCATCAATTTTTATTGGGTAGAAGGTTATATCTTGAGCTACAATATTGGCTTTATCAGTTTCAAACGAAAATGAGCCTGAAAGTTGGCCATTATTCAATTTTGCTCTGAAACATGCAACGATGGCCCCATTATCAGAAAAATCATCAGAAATCCTCTGTGTTAAACGTGGTGTGATTTCAAGATATGCAACATGATAAGGTACCAAAGAGACTGATGGCGCGTCATATTTATGAATGTAAGTGAAAACAATAGATTGCATAACTCCATCAAGTAAAATATCCAAATATTTATTTGGCTTCAGTAAAGTAATACCATAACCTTTGCCATCGGTGATTACAGTTTGCACTGAGCGGAATATGCCATCGTATTCATAATTGTGCAGTGTCATTTTCGCATAAAATTCATTTTTGAAAATAAATTTTGCATTTTTATCAGAAATTGCTTTTGAAATTCTATTCTTTATCAATTCGTAATCAAAATTATCGACTTCATCATCGGATGGAACTGTAGATGAATGCTGGTTTTCTGGACTTGATCGTTTGCTTTCAAACGTAACGCATTTACGATTCGAATAAATCACCTCACGGATCATAGCAGTAGTTTCGATTTCAAACTGTATCAATTTTTGATTAGTTGTGAATATAATAGGGGATAAAAAATTAACATTTGTAAAAATTTGTTGCTTTTGCTCAGATAATTTTTTATAAATAGTAAGAAGTAGTGTAGCAGCTGATAAAATATTATGATTCTGTACAACATGACTTGATAAATAAGTGTTTTCTTCCAGATTTATAACTATTTTCAAAGTTTTCCATTTGCTTTCATTAAATGATTTTCGTGAATAAATCAATGAATCTGTTTTTTCAGATTCCCACTCCATTCCTTGATAAATTTTTATTGATTTCCGATCATTTATATGAGCAATAAATTTCAGCAAATCGATTGATTTGTGAATATATTTTGTTGATCCATGATGAATTGTACTGTTTGCGTATTCAATGTAAGCTTCTGTTCGGTTATTTAAAAACTGCCAATTTTCTTTGGAATCTGTAAGAACTGCTATTATAAGAGATCGTACATCTGACACTCTCAATTTATGGATGCTAATTATTGAAGTTGTTTTCTGGAAGTCAATTGTCAGTTTGAGTAAGACTGCATGGACTTGATCGCTCATAACTTTATTAATAGGAAATGAATTTTCTTTTATGATAGATTTTACACGTTTCCAAGCAAAACACGCATCAGGAAGTGTAAGTGCTTTCAAAGCAGCAAGCATCATAAAAGTATTGAGTCCGGAAACTACGATTTTTCGATCAGTGATGTAACCAGTGTTTATTAATATCATCGTAATGGCGTACGTGATAGCAGCACAATTTTCTGCTTCAGTATTATCAGAAATTAATTTAAAAGCTTCACAACATTGATAATAAGACTCCCGAAAAGTAATTGGTAGCAAGTCAAATGTAGATAATATCGAATGATAATTTTTCTGAATATCAATCAATAAACTCGGAATTTGATCTATCATATCATTCTTTGAGCTTCGGTTTGATTCTTCGATACAGGTAAGTGCTGAATACTTGAAATTTCTATCATCAAGTGATTTATTCAATCCATCATTTGTATTCTCATACTTCAGCAGTCCAGAATCCCACCTCTGATTTAAAACCTCCTGACTTAATCTCTTTTTTTTTGGACTTTTTTTCTTCGTTACAATATCAAGATTGTTATTCATATCATTAATATTGGTAGTAATTTCTGATACACTTTCAGCGATGAATTCAGAATCCATCGTATTTTATCCAAATGATTTCAAATCTAATGCTCTGAAAGATATACATGAATACCAGATGCCAAAATTTTTTCATTTATCACTTTTGCATATTACACTTTTACTGCTTAAATAATTCAAAGTAATTAAAAGTAAATAACTAAAAAATATGAGAACAGAAATTCATGTATAACTTACAGATACAATAAGTTGAAGGTATTCTAAGATCTAAGTACAGAGAATAATTAAAAACGTGAATCACGTGAGGGAACAGATTTGTTGAGAAATCTCTATTTTTACAGTATTTTCGGTAAAAATAAAATTAAGATGTAACCTTATTGCTGAATTTTTGGGAAAATTTGTTGTGAATACTTTCTAACTAACTTTTCTTAAATTTATAAATTGACCAGAAGCATAATTTCGATGGCACTGCTTATTCATATTTTAAAAAACAACACCATTTTAATGAAGCAAAATTGGAACGAACAGCAAACTTCTACAATCACAATGTAAAGCAAGCAAGTGATTACACGTATAAATTTGTACATTATAAAAGATTTGCTCAACTTGCTATTCCATAAAAATGCAAAATTTGAGGTAATTATCTAGCAGATTTAAGGCAATTTGTTTTTAAAATGCACAGAATTGTCGTCTAAATATACTAAATTGCCATTCTTATCTTTCTTTTAGATTAAAATTATTAAAGACTAAAACAAAAATTGTGCAGAAGTTAAGTAAAGAATTCATTTTTGAACGAACTCTTTCAATTTTGATCTAATCTATTCCATACATGGATAATTTTTTCTGATTGCATTCATAATTTTAGCAGTAAACCTCAATTTATTATTCTAAAATTTCGAAAAGTTGCCTTTTTTTTGAAAAAAAAATAAGAATTTTAAATTGTAATAAATAATTTTATGAACTATTGTTAGAAGGTCAGATTTTTTCAAACTTAAACATTACTGAATAAGTGGTAAATTAATGTGTGAAACCGTATTAATGAATAGAGTCGAGTAATATGCAAATTTGATTACAAATCTTTATATAAATTTAATAATTCCTGAAGGCATCATTTTTATCGTTTACAGTTTCAAATAACGGTATTTCATATTTCTGACTGGCCAACTATGATTCAATTGGAGTTCGTCTTTTGTTTTATTTTATTATAATTTCTTACGTTTTCACTTACAGCGCGTCAAATAAAAAGTAAATTCTTTATCAATACTTTTCCATCAAAAAGGCCACGAAAGTTATTAATTTGAAATGGTACATCATATCAGCAATAAATTTATGTATTAATTACAAATTTTTAGGAAGATCTAACGGAAAAGAAAAACATGAACTTTGACCTATGATTAAATAATAAAAAACACACAATACCATAAGAGTTGTTACTACATTTATTTTACTCTCAATTAAGCATAGTAATTGATATATTACTTATAATTTAATACGAAAGCTCTTTTGCCAATACTTACACATTAGAGGTTATAGTTCATGAATTAAATAAATGGAACTGTTTCAGATCATCTTTGAGTGAAGATGAATGGATCAGTCTAATCTATGTAGTATTGTTCTCAATCACGATTTTATCGATTATTCTTGCGATATATTTTACTTTGCAATGGTTTTATATGGTTATTATATATCATAATGACCGAGTAACTATTATTTTCCTCTTAAAAATCTTTTCTACTAATTATTTTTCGAAAAGTATGCATATAGCGCATTCCGCTACCTATTACATTTTGGTATCTAATAGTAATTTACAAGAAATTATAAATTATGCCTTTTTTTGCATCATAAAAATTCATTGAACAGTCGAAGTAGCGTATATTCCAAGAAGTTTAAGTAATCGCAATTTTATTTGCATGTCGTAGTCATTACGCAAGTCTGAAAAAGATTTAATAATAATAATATTTTCTATATATATTATTATTATCAATCAATTGATTGCTTATTTAGCATTTTTTTGAACTGTTTCTTCCCGAGAATTAGCTAAATTTTTCTGCAAATATACGGAAACTTTTTTCGCAGTGATAATATTTGTTAATTTGCTTGCGATTTAAGGCGAATACAAAGAAAGCAAAGCGTCGAGAAGCGAATATTAGCCCAATTTTGAATACGAAAAACAAAAATATCGGTGATGTAAGTATTGATAAATTTGTATAAAACAAAACATTATCATTAAATCACAAAGTAATTATTAGTTCAGAATAGAAAATTTAGCTAAAAATAATCGTTAGCAGTATTTATCTGCTTGCTTTATTCGTACTGTATTCATTGACGGAAAAACGATAAAATTAAAACTATGACCAAATGATGTTTAATCCTATCTTACCGCTGCTTTTATTAGATTACTTATTTTTTTAAATTTATTTTGGTTTTATGAGGAAGCTTAGCAAAACTTATTATGTTACACAACATATCAGTAATAAATTTATTTATAAATTATTATTTTTTGACCTCTATTATTTATTGTTCAAATAATAGAGGTCAGAAATACTTTCATTTCAATGTAACTTATTTATATGATGTCACTGAAAAACTAAATCTTTCAAATTCAGTAACAATCATTACGATTCATTATTAATAAGGATTGCACCACTGATTAATCAATTAATTAATTTAGGACGTATTGTAAATATGAAATTGTGATCTGTTTCGATTTTAAGTCATAATAGTATTATTTGTTTAGATCACAGAGACAAATATTGTAATAGCATATTCATCGCCGACAATGGATGAAGCCATGAAAAGTTCATCAAATGATCAGACACCGATCGGATCAGCTGAAAAAGATTCACCTGAGAAGATCATTACATCGCCTGAGTTTGAAACTAAAACAGATGATGTACTGATGAGAGTAACGGGAGGAAGTTATGGCTCAGGTTTATATTTCTCAAAGCTAATCAACTTTTGTTCTCATTCCGACATTGTTCTGAATAATAGAAATTCTGCTGCACACTTATATCTCATAAATTAAATTACAAAAAAAGAATTGTCATTAGAAAGAAAAATGAATTAAAACAAAACATAAAGTATTACATTGCAAAAACTTAATCTTACAAATATTATTTAAAATGATGTCAAAATTTGAATACAAATTTAATAAAACACACATATTTTTCTTAGTTAAAGCTTTCTTATGTTGTAAAAGTTTGTTGCTTGTAAAAACTGTTGACAGTTTTCGAAAAATTCTAAAGTAAAAATATAAAGTTTTACAGTCGTAACAGACTGTTTTTTAGATGAATTTGTAAAGGATATTAGAGTATTTCTTTTTCAGGATTTTCGCCTAATCCAGGAGCAAATCCAAATGCTCATAAGTCTCAACCAGCTAGACTATTGACTGCGGAATCAGTACAATAATAATTTCCTCATAAATGATAATTCATAAAATGAGATATTGCCACTGACTTTATGACTGATTAGAATGATTAAACCTATAAATATAATACTGATAAAATTGATAAATTAAATATATCTTATTAAATATTGATTTTGATTTTAACAATTTCAATTTCTCAATTTGGCTATCAGATTGTTAAATTCACTGAAATGGGTAGGTGAAAAGAATGCAAGAATATCAAATTCATAGTTACGTGACGCTTCAGTTATAGTTTAGCTCAAAGTTTTTGCGTGCAAATGCGTGAAAATGTTATGCAAAGAATAAATAATTTCAGATCACTAATGTATAGATTACATTGAATTTAAACTTGTATTAAGTATAGATCCAGTATTCGGTTTCCTGTTTACGATTTAAAAAATGTGATCTGCAAATTCTGAAATTACTCATTTTCCTTTACATGTGAATTAAAAATTGTTTTTCAAAAAAGATACTACTGCCAGTTCTATTTTTCATATAAATTAGAATGAGTAAGAAGTATCTGCACTGAATGAATCATTTCATCTTCAGCATTACTTGCTTTTGTAAAAATTTTAATTTATAAAAACTGTATAAAATTGTTGTCTGAAGCTGAGCATGCATGCATATAATGATGGGTCTGTGCGCAAGTATTATTCATTTCATCTTCTGAGATGTATCTATCTATTTGTCTATCTATCTACTTGTTGCCTATTCAAAGATGTGTTTGACCTGAATTGTTGATGACCTAAAAAAGAAATGATTTTAATGTGCAATCATTGCGTATTTTCTGTACTCAATATTATCAAATTTGACCTTTTCCAAAATTTCTTCTCTGATTTTGTGAACTAAATTTACAAATTACACAAAATGTATATGCATTGCAGCAAATGAAAATTTTTTCGTTTTTTTTTTTTCAAAAAATTTCGAATTTATTTTGTTTTCACTTATTGTTGGATATATATTATAATATATACTGTAATAGATGGAGAAATTATTCTTGCAAATTAAATGCCCTAAATCTAAACATTTAAATCCCCCAAAGGTATTTTGATTTTTCAATACGGTGTAATTACTTATCGCTTTTCATCCTTATTTCCTATAATCTTTTTTGTTTTTCTCTTTCAAGTCAAATTAGACATAAAGAACTAATTAAGAAAGTGTAAATACGTCATTTGATCTAAAATAATTCTGAATTCATTGTTTTGTAGTGTGGACTATAATTAAGTATGCAGTCATTTTTTTTGCATCTTTAATACGGTGGATGATTGATCTAACTCAATAATGCATCATATTTGAGTGGCATAAAATATTAATTCAATCATATTTTAGTTTCAAGCAATATTTGAACCACTTTGTTCTGCAACTGTAGAATATTAATTAAGTGTTAATTGCATAGGCATAATTTCTTGTTACGGTGAACTGCTTTTTTAGATTAATTATTTGTACCCAAAAGTAAAGCTTCGATTCTAAACTGCAGATGGAAGGGGACGGGGACTATCACGAAAAGGATTTAATATGTCACTAGAATTAGTCTAAAAACTAGATCTAGCTTTAGTCAAAATTTAAATTTCATATCTAAACAAAAAATTCTTTAGTCGTTTACAGGCAGAAAAATGAAAAACATTCAGAGACTGAAATTTACTAAAATTTTATAAATGACGGATTGTATTTTTTTTGTTTTCAATAAAATTATCCAAGTAATAATTAATATTTTTAAACAATAAAACTCACATTTTGAATTTGAACTTGAAGAAATCACTCTGATTCAATTATGAAAAGTATTACTTCCGTGAAAATAATATTTTGATAAAGGATACGTGCAATTTTTTTAGAAAATTCATCATATTACCTTGTTTCGCAGTGTAATCAAAGTATATCCTGAATATGCATCCTGAATTTCGCGTGTTTTATTCTTCTAAATTTTCATCCAAGCAATTACAACGCAATAAATTCATCCGCCTAATTATTTACCATCCATATATTTTCAAAATGCTATTAATTAATTACTTACAGAATCTGTTGCAAACTGTTATGGTACATTTAATGTAAAGATTATTGTATTATCACATCTTTTGCGTAATTAATATTCCTTTTCAGTAAATTCTGCACAATCATTTGTACTCCCAAAAATGTATTTTATTACATTTGAAAGTGAAATAAACTAATGCTAATCTCAATAAAATGCATGTCTGTTTATTGCTTTATCAATAAGATAATCAAAAATCAAATAAATCTTTGGCGCTAATCAAAGATAATACTGAAATTACCTTCATTAGAATATTTGAATTTTAGAAAGCATATTGATTTTGCAAAATAAATATGCAAATACTGGAAATTGTGTTCACGATAATAATTGCATTTTGGGGCATAATTGATGCAGCATCTGTTAATGTTTGCAACGATGCAAAAACTTGCGCAGAGTGTGCTGAATCATACATTTATGTTTTTGGTTTTCGAGAACACTGCAGGTAGATTAATAGTTACTCTAGCATTAGTCTTAATGGACTCATGCTTCCGATGTTTATCATCTATGGTTTATAATATTGCTGATTAAATTCAAAAAATCCTCAATCCTAAATTTACCAGTCCAAATAGTAAAAATAAAAAGTTCAAAATAGTACTAGTCCAAATTCAGTGGAAATCTAAAATTTTGCTATAAAAATGTATTTAATATATGGGTGCTTTTTTGCTCAAAATTTAAAAAAATAAAATTTGCATAATTCATAAGAGCTTTTGAAATAATTTTATGCCGGATTTAATTAATTAATCTTACTTGACTTATTACTAAGAAATTATTACAAGCAATTTACTCATTTATAAATAAAGTATTGGATTTTTCAACAATAAATCTTAAAACGTTAACAAAGCGCGAAAAATTGGCACTAAACTAAAATTTGCTACTCAATTAGTAAAGAAAATTATTTTTACGATGCTACGTCGCAAAAATAATTTTTTGTTCATTAGAATAAAATAATTTCTAATTGAGTGACTCATTTATTTTTTAATTTTTCAAATAATTACTACACAGCACATATCTGTAAAATAATTACTTAGATGGTGCGTAGAAACAGCAACGTGTGTTGGGCCCTTTGCGTGTGCCACTGGAAGCGGTATCGTTCAACGTGAACCATTTATGTGTCCACAACCGGTACCAACAGCTAAAGGACATCGCTATACTGATAGGCTCGGACGATCACTATATAGCCTTGCGTTAGCTGTGCGTGAAAGTGATCCTACGGAGTGTTTGGCTAATAGCCGACCTGATGTCAAGTAAGCTTACAATTTATTTATTCACGTATTTTAGAAAATCATTATCATTTTTGTTTCAATTAATTGGTTTTTATCTCATACTAATTTTCACAGTATTACTTCATTGAAGCAGTCAGTTATTTTCAGTAGTAAATAAAAAATATTTTAACATACTACTTTTTAATTTTTAATAATTTTGCAAGAGTTTTTTCTGATCAATCAATAATACTAATTTAGGCTGATCAAACGCTATGAAGTAGAATGTGATCAATCACACAATCTTTGTGCTTCTATGCTTGCTGTTTCTGTACCTGCTAAAAGTATTTATGTTGTGTACAAATCGAGTAATATGGATAAGCAGTTAATTACAGAAGTACAATAATTTCTTCTCTAGTATTAGATATAATAATTTCAGCACGAAAACAATACCTTGAATAAAAACTTTAAATTATAATTAATGTCATTTATTTTTTGTTATACTTCGAAAAATTCTTCTTCTGATCTGCTGTATTTATAGTTTCATGAGGAAAGCATAGCTTAAACTTCAATCTAAATTGTGAGCTTAGTGCTAAATCTGAAATGCTACATTTGCAGTAGCCTATGACTACCTCACTTTCAAACAGTGCCAAATATCTTTATTGTTTTTGAGCTATTTTATTACTGCAAATGACTTTCGTACATTTTGCTTTTGAGTAATAACTTCAAAAAATCAAGCTGAATTTTTGCTATTTTAAAGTATTCAAATATTGTTCAATAATATTTTATATTAGCTATTTTATTGTAAGTCATTTCATTTTTATTAAAACTGTATATTAATACCAAAAATGCACAAAAAATGATTATATAATTAATTTTTTAATTAATATTTAATTAATTAATAATTTTTGCCATTTATCTAAAAATGTTGTAATTAGAACAATTGCAGCTGATACATACTGTAGCAGCTCAATTGGGAGCGTGGCAAAAATTTGAGTCAGGTGGTGGGGTCATGACTTACTTTCATGGAGCCTTTGAACGACTTTTTAAAGGAACTGGCATGAAAGAGCAACTCATTGAACTAAACCGTAAATATCCACATTATAAAGTTTGGGTAAACTTTCGTATATTCAATTTAATTTAACAATATTTAATGCATAATAAAATGAGTTGTAAAAATGAAAATTAACAAGTTTTCCATCGTAACATAAACTGAAAAGGTCAAAGTTTGAGTTCCATTTTTTAGGTGACAGGTCATTCTTTGGGTGCTTCTCTTGCATCAATGACAGCACTATATTTGGCTAATCACAGTATTATTCCACGCGATTTGATTAGATTAGTTACTTTTGGTGAGGCGAGAACTGGAAATGTAGCATTTGCACGTGCTGTTGAACGTAATATCCGGTTTCGTTATCGTGTTGTTCATCGTGGAGATTTGGTTAGTTAGACTGTATTCGAGATTTTTCGATTACTGTAGTAGTGATCTACTTAACTACTGTATGTGAATGAATTCTGTATGTTATGATGATCTAGATTTAATAATCTTGTTGTCCAAAATTTAATTCACTACTGTGGCAGAAATTTTTGGTACTGAAGTTAAGAGTAGCCTTCCTACTGCATTCGAGATTAATTACTGTATTAATCTTACCGGATTACTGCACAAATTTTTATTAATTATTTCGCAGTATTCCAAAATGGCTCGATTTTTGTTTCCGATTCTTGTTGTCGTTATCTCAGTAGTCTCATAATATAAGTGTGCGTTTCAAATTACAATATCATACTATTACTGTAATAGTATGCTATTGTAATATTAAACTTTTGACCTTCACTTAAAGTAAATAGTATTTCAACCATACCGTAAGAATAATGATTTTAAAAGCGAAAAATACAATTTTTTAAATATGCTAATTCAAAATATTATTCTTCTTTTTTCAAATCAAGCAAGAGATATGATTACAGTTATTGCTAAAAGTTGTAAAATGCATTCAGTATATAGAATATAAAAAATACATTTACTTCAAAAATATTAAAAAATTTTGGACTATTAAATTTTTAAATTCAGTCAATGACTTGAAAATATTCAATGCATTTTATTTACTTAAATAATAAAATTGAAAAAAACAATTAATTCATTTTTTTAATTCGATATTGTTTTTTTAAGAATATTTTGATTCTTTCAATGAAAAAATATGTATTCAATTTTTTGAAACAAAAAACCAATTATAGCAAACAACCACTCATCTACTGTTTTCTGAAATGTACATTTTTCCACCATACTATTTTTTCAACAAAGTAATTGTGTTTTGGCTAATTTTGAAAGAATTAAAATATTTGAGGTAACAAACATACCGGCGAACATCGATTCAAATGGAATTCTGGTTACTCGAGCAGTTGCGGAGCGACAACCTCATTTTTATCGCTTTTTGGTATATTATGATAATGATATGAAACCGGGTAGTTCATTTAAGGTAACCTAATATTTTATACAAACGTTATTCATTCAAAAGAATTATTCAAATTTTAGGCACTGTTAGCTTGAATGAAAGTAATGGCTGTTAAAAATGGCTATTAACATGAACTTTGCAATTATTTCATGCATAAAATCTGATGTATTATAAGATTTGGACAAAATTTTAAGCAATCCGAATTTAATCTATTTTCTTGCAAGCTTTTTTAATCTTCATTTACTTAATTATGCTTCCTTTCATTCGCAAATATTAAAAATTACAGTAATTATGCGTTGAATTGCTTTTATGCAAATTTTAGGTTGGCCATAAAAAGTTTAATACCAGAAGCAATAAATCGTATTTTGCGTTTTTTTTGTTCAGTTCATCACTGAAGTTATTGCAAAAAAATAGCATAAAACTTTGAATATTTAACAAAAACTTTATCAAATTGTTGGTAATCAGTTAATAAGAAAATATACTTTTTTAATTAAATTGTTCAAAACTATCTTTTTATTAAAAATTTGAATACAATAAGCAAGAATTTGTTCACTAAATATAAACATTAATCCGAAATTGCCTAAAAGTAATCAAAAGTGAAAATATCAAAAATCACTGATAACATTTTGATAACAATGAATAATCATTTTGTATGTATAAATAATTAGATCGCTAAATTTCTAACACTTGATTAAATATATGTCTTGTAGAAATGATAAGAATATTTGCAGAAGTGCAATTTATCAGAAGATTATGCTTGTCGTAATCTGCCATTCACAAACAATGCGTTGGATCATCTGAATTACTTTGGTGTGAATGTAGATGAATACTTGGCTAAGAAATGCAAAGGTAATCTATTAAAATTGAATACTACAATTGCTCAAAGTAATTCCACTTCACCAACATTGACAACAACAAACTCGACAGTAACAACAAATTCATCATCGACATCATCAACAACAACAACATCAGCAACAACAATATCGCTAGAAGAAAACAGTTTAAATTAATAATACAATAAGCAGAAATAATTAATCCAATATTCTGTGACATTATTAAGCTAATTATGTTCAAATTTTTCATGTAAGATAAATATTACAGTACAAAACCTGCTTAATCGAATCTTTTGCAGAAAAAATAGGGTCAAGAAAGTATTTGGTATAATTTTAACCTTACAAAACTATTCAACTTGAAGTTTGGAGACTTCGTAAGCATTTAGAAATACTGAAAAGTTTTGATTCAATTTATTTGAGTGCATAATTGTTATTTTTTCATCTACAAACATTGTTACAAAACATAATTGTATGCTTAATATACGAATGATATATGTATTCAGCTCACTAACCAGAATTTTATGGAATTTGTTAAAAAAATGATATATGAATAGAAGCAGCGTGGTATCATACGGATTATTAATGCAAATTTTTTATTAAAAACAATAAAACACTATATGAATTGTGTTTTAGACAGAACTAAAATACGTATGGGGCAATATCTGCGTAATAATTTGACACTATACAGCAGTACAGAAAGTAGTATTTAATTTAATTTTTTCAACTAATAGTTAAAAATTACAATTTGCATACAAAATTTACAAAAATTATGAAAAATTCTAATTCATAATATTTTCATGTCAGTATTTTATGGTCGTAATAAATGTTTGTGCTGTTAGAAGCTAAAAAATTGTTAATTATTTTAATTTTTAATAACCACAGATATGACAAATTAGTGACGGAATTAAGAATACACGTTCAAAAATAATTAAGGTTCACGTCAGTAATTAACATAAGCCAGGTGCACGAATATTGTTTAGGACGACAATATTTTTACCAAACTTTGTTGAGTTGTAATACGAAAATGTGTAAGACAAGTCAAATAATGATGTAAAGAGTTGAAACACTACAAAAAATGTCTAGAGTGTTTTGACTTAAGAAACGTGTAGGACGTAGGGTCTACAGTAATTATGTAGAGTTATATTGTTGCAAAAAATGATTAGAGTATTGTAACGTGCAAAATGTTAAAACATTAAATGAATATGTGTACTGTAATAAGTATAATGTTTTTTAAAAAACATCTATAACATCAAATTTCTGAAAATCTGTAAACTTGTGACACTGTCAAAAACGTGTGGAATATTAGTACTTGAATAAATGTGTGAGACGTTTTTTACGCCAGCCATATCTTGAGTTAAATAGTTTGCAAAATGCGTAATACTTAATTTGCATATAAAATTGTTATAATTGTACAACAATTATAAATAGACGATTTTGTAAATACCAAATCTCATATTATGGCACAATAATACTGCACTTCTCAAAAAACATGAAGTTATGACTTTTTATTTTTCTCAGTAATTCAAATACTTGTTTAATGTTATTTATTTTTTTAATAATCATTTTAATAAATTAAAATAAAACAAAAAAGACTCTCAATGAATTAAGTTCATTTTTTGAATGTTTTTAAAATTTGGCTGGTGGATTTTAATATAAAATTTTAATGAATCTCGAAGAAAATTTTTCGAAAACAAATTGAAACTAAAAGAAATGTTTTACTCTTTTAATTGTTTGATTTAAAAAATTGACAAATTTGGAAAAAGCAATGAACAAACACTCATAAATACTTAAATACTTGAAATGAATGACTTAAGTTTGTTTGCTAAGCTAATGCGTGCAAACTCTGAAAGGCCAAAAAGTTAAACAAAATTTTCATTCTTTCGTTATTTATCTTTATTTCACCAAAAAAAGTCTTGTACATATCAAGTATCAATTCAAGTTGTCTTTTGTGCTATAAATTTATTTCGATTCCAATTTGTTAGGCATTTTGTTCAGATTTAAATTTCACTTTCTTCGCCTGAAACTGTAAAATTGAATAACGAAAAAATTCACACATATTGATAAAGACTTAATTTACATAAATCAAATTAAAATTCATTACTATTTCTAATTATATTCGAAAAATGGAATAACTAATTGATAAATTAAGTCCGCTTGTATTTGATTTGTAATAAAAGCTTGAGAGTTTGTTAGCTTCACAAATTTGATGAAACTTTTTAGCTGAATTTTCTGCATTATTTGTTTCAAAATTCACTTAACTGCTATACTTGTATATTGTCTGCAACTTCTGAAGACTATCTCAACGATATAATTTTCAATTTGTATAAAAAAACAACTTTTTTCGTTTTTTTTTGGAGTAAAAAGTATATTTTAATTTGTTGTGCACAAATATCACAAATTGAAACAATACTATAAGTAATAAATGGTAATACAAAAACAATATCCAACATGAAAATATTTGCAACAAAGTTATTATCTTCATTTTCATCATTATCATCATCAACAATAGCAATAACACTTTGAGTTATTGTATTGTGTATTATTATTATCATTATTATTATTATTATTGTAAAAATAATATTAGTAAAGTAATCGAAAATGGTTTATTTTATATATTGTGATGTGATTAAACAAATTATTTTAAAAATTTTCATATATAATATAAGTATTCAAAAAATATTTAAAGCAGTAAAATGCAAAGTAATTTTGCATGTTTAATTTTTAACACAAGCGAATATACAAAACGTTTTCAAATTGAAAATATTATGCAAACAATTTCTGACTGAAGCGTAAAAATTACAAGTCAAAATAAAAAATTAAATATTTATCTTAGCGATTTGATAATCAAATTAGCATTCAAATACTATTTATTATACTATTCAGATATAAATTTATTGAAGCTATATAAGTAAAATTATTAAATAATACTATTTAAACTATTTCAAATTTGTCATGCTAATAAAAGTATTGTTTTTACCGGAAAAAGAGTTAAAATCACTAATAATGCGTCAAAATTAATAAGTCATAATTGCCAATGTTTAGGATATTAGCATAATGCGTTATTTTTCATATCTTGCAACATTTTCACGTAACTAAAAAGTTCACTTTAATGGTAATTTTTTTGCAAGTTCCCATACGTGTTTAAGTCGTATAGTAAAATTGTAAATTCTTGAGTTCTATACGTACTAAAATATATTTCGTTATTAAAATAATTAAAATTAATCGAAGCATCTTAACTTTCTGTCAAAACATTTGATATGATTACAAAAACTAGCTTTACTTTATTAAACAAAGAAGTTTATCAGCTTTTTGCATCGCAAAATTAGCATAAAATTAGCATGCTTTCATGCAAAGTAATAGAAAATAGAATTTGGTATCAAACTTTGTGAAAAGCTTTATTTTTCGATTCTATCGGTTGGTAGTAAGTATTAAATGTGAGTTAATTGAATCTGTTGAAAATAGAATAATAATAATAATTATAAAATGTCATTCATGTGATAATAAGTTAATAAATAATCAGTAATTTTATTTAATTTAATTAAAAAATCAATTATAAAAAAGCAGAACGAATTTTTATGTAATAAAATTTGTAAAAATCGTTTTTACATGCAGCAAATAGTAAATAAAAGTGTAATGAGACGAATTATGATTGCGCGAGCAGTTAACTTTCTGAAAGTTAATCAAAGGTCAAAGTTACAAACTATTCATTGAACTTTACAATATTTATCACTTATTTGTTTGCCATTAACTTACTTTTTTAATTTTCCCATTGTAGTACTCAGAATTATTTGCATTTTTATTTCAAACTGATCAATAATTGTAGTTTGATCTTTGATCGTTTGAGAGAAATTAAATTTTTAGATGCAATTTTTGCTAAAAATAAAAAAAATAGCATTGTTATATCATATTTGACAAATTATTTCATTTTTAAATATCCAAACATTAATTAAAATTCAAAAATTTCTATTTTGGGACGTAATCAAAAATTTGAAGTTATAAAAAAATTTTTAATAATTGCCAAAATAAAAATTTAAATAAATGAAAAAAATTAATGACTGCATTTTATTATGATATGCATAACAAATATCATCAATACTCACTTCATCAATGTTATAATTGTTATAATTGATTAAATTTTTGAGAGTAATCATCAATTCTATTTAATTCCGAAGCAAAAAAATTTTGATACCAAAAAGCTTTCTTTTATCAAATTTGCATTCTATTCAAAAAAATTCTGCATCGATTTTTTCATTCCTTTTCTTTGTTTATTTTTATTTATTGATTTTTTAGTTTAAATTTTTTTGTTTTATTTTTTGCAGAAAAAAGTTTTCAATTTATGCTTTAATTAGTCTATTTTCATTTAAAAAAGGTATGCAATTTAAAAAAGTAAGTTTTCATGCGATAAAAAAACCTGTCAGCAGCGCTAATTCAATACAGTTTGATTGATTTTTTGCTTCTATGCATTATTTCTATTTTTGCTAAAATTCCACGCTTTTTACTCCTTTTTTACTTTTTTGTGATCATATTTTATTGCAAAAATCTTAAATACTTTTTATGTATTTATGCAAATTATCCATTGCTCAGTTATTGATTTATTCTTCGAAAATCAATAATTAAGATTAAAAATTAAATTGCTTTCAAAATTAATTTTTAAACTGTAATTAAAAAGGGTTATTTTTAATTAAAAAATTACTTTACTTCTCAATTAATAAGTAAGCTCTGTTTTTGCTGATGAGAATGTCATCTGTTTATGATAAGAGACTTGTTTAAATCTCTTATTTAATTCAAAATTACTTTACTTTTTAAAATCAAAAAATTTATTAATCAAATATTTGATATGAGAAAATATTTTTCCTATATTTGCTTAAAGATTTGATTAAATTTTTAAATTACTAATCTTAAAAAATTTTCAGTTACGTTAAATTTTTTTTTAATTATTAACTTTAAAGTACTGTGTGTTTGTCATTGTAAGTGAAAAAGCTATTAAAAAATAATTTTCATTATTTTAATTAAAAAGTATTAATTATTTTTTGATTAAATATTTGTGTAATTGATATATGCTACTAATTAAAACAACGAATTCGATTGAGTTCTAAAATTTAATCCAAAAATTTTCCCGTGAAAAAATATTATTCACCAAAGTATAGATCTTAGATTTTTAATGATTTAACAAATCA